GTTTCTTTAAAATTTTATAATTTTTACAACTCAGTTACTTAGAAAAATATTTAGACGTACATAAATGATTTTTGATGTTGCGCAATTTTATTTAAAGTTTTCTTCATTAAATAATTGTTCATTTTTACATTTAACAAAAAAATCTTTTTTAATGTCTACAGCTGCTTCTACTGATTCTGTTGATCCGATTCAAGAACAATATTTGACAGAAAGTTGCATACAAGTTGATCGGAATGATGGAATAATTGGTTAGTTTTTTAAGTTTAAAATTCTAAAAGTTTTTTTTGTAAATTTAGGCCCTGTTTCAAAAAGAGAATGTCATATGAATCGTTAGTTATTGTTGCTTTTAAATTAAAAAAAAATTATTTCAGCTTTGCTACATAGAGCTTTTAGCGTTTTTATTTTTGACAAAAAACGTCGTATGCTTTTACAAAAGCGTTCAGCTACTAAAATTACTTTTCCTCTGGTTTGGACAAATTCTTGTTGCAGGTTTTTACTTTTCACAATTTTTAAAATATTTTTTAGTCACCCACTTTTTGGGATTGAACAAAATGGTGTTGATGGAGTTAAAGTTGCTGCAAAGAGAAAGTTGTTGCATGAACTTGGAATTGACACTATAAATGTTGGGGATATGGAGGTTATGGGACGTTTTATATATTTGGCACGGTCTGATTCTATTTGGGTTGAACATGAATTGGATTACGCGATAATGTACGTTTTTTTTGTTTATTTCAAATTACGTTCATTCTGAGGTTAAAAAACTGGGAAACGTGAACAAGTTCAAATGAAAATTGTTTGGGTGTGCAGAATTTTTGTACTCCTTTTTAATAAAAAAAACTCAAACTGTTTTAGAGTTACCAACTTTGATGCGTCGTTCAAGCCTAATCCTGAAGAGGTTTCTGAAGTTCGTTTTGTTACTCCAGATGAACTTAATGAAATGTTTATTGGTGGAAAGGAACTTTTCTCTCCTTGGTTTTCTCTTTTTTACAAATTTCATTGGCTCAAAACCTGGTGGGAGAAACTTGATGATTTGAAGTCTGTTCGTGAATCCGATGATGTTATTCACTCTTTGAATTGATTAGTATTGGATTTTTGACTTAAAAAGTTTATGTCACTTACATTAGATTAATTGAAATTTTAGGAAATTATTCTTTTTAAAGGAAATGGTAAGAGAACAATTTTAATTTTTATGAATGATTTTTTAGAATAATTTTCTTTCATTCCCTCTTGACTTGCCACTATTTTTAAGATTTAAAACCAAAAAGTTACTTATATTTTAGGAATAGTTTATATTATTTTTTAAAATTTGTTTTATCATATTGATACAAAATGTTAAATTAAATACTTAAAAGGATATTCTTTTATTTTCTAAACGTTTGAACGAAATTTATCTGTTTCGATTATTCTAAATAATTTTTTGTTGTTTTTGTTTAGATGCATTCAATTTGGAGTAGAGGGAATACAATCTTTGCTTTTACGTTGACTGTGTTAAGCGCTGTTACTTTGGTATTTTTATTTTCAAGCAATTTTCAATTTATTTTTCAGATGGCCTTTCTAACATCAATGTTTGCGGTTAAAAGTGTTAAAGTTGAGATAAGCGCTGCAAATCCGCGGATGTGAGTTTTTAAAGATTTTTACAAATTCTTTATAATTTAGACGGAGTATGTCAGATTACACTAATGAGGAAGGGAAGAGTGATCTTGCAATGGTTTCATTAAATATACATGCAGATATGTCACCAATCTTTAATTGGAATGTGTAAGTTGACTAAAACTTAAAATTTTTTGTTTTTAAATTTTTCAGTAAACAATTGTTTATTTTTTTGGTCGCGGAATATTCGACAATGAAAAATGTATTAAATTTAATATTTTGTTTTGAATAATTTGTTTTAGGTAATTAATCAAGTTGTTTTGTGGGATAAAATTGTCAAACGCCCTGATTCGCAAGTGATTTTGGAAGAATCGGTTTTTTGGGATTTTTGAGTATTTTTATTTATTTTTTCTTCACAGATTCACCCAAAATATTATTTTCTGGATGATGGTTCAAATTTACTTAGTCATCAAAATGTAACTCTTATTCTTAAATGGAATATAGTGCCAAATGCAGGACGTTTAGAGGATTCTCAGGGTGATGGTCAATTTATTCTTAAATTTCCGTCCAATTATGTTTCTGGTCGTTTTTGAGGATTCTAACAAAATTAAATTCCCAGCTATTCTTTTTCTATGTAAATTTTATGATTGTATCTTTTTGGGATATTTAAATTATGGTCTTCTCTTTTCTGCCTTTTAGCTATCAACTATTTTTTGTGTATGTAAACAAAATCGAAAATGTTTTGTTGGTCTATTCAGCATTTGTTTACATATCATTTTATCACTAAAAGATTGTAAAAAGAATGTTTTAATGGTTTTGCTTGGGATTTTAGAGACTTTGAATGGGCTTTTTCGGGAGTCGGGATTAAAAACCCGTAAAATTTTTGTCATGCCTTTAATTAGCTTCATTTCTTGGTCAAAATATTTTCTCCTTGTATTTGAGGACATCAAAAAAATTTTTCTATTATTTCTGTGTTGTTGATTAATTGATTAAATCATAAAAGTTGTAATTTTATTTGTTTTTTTCTTTAAATGTTTATTAATTTCAATAATTATTTTGATATGTTTTTGCTTAAATTTATGAGTAAATTTTGGATGAAAATTACCGTTACTGGATTTGGTCCCTTTGATGATTATTCAACAAATCCAAGTTCGGTAGTTGTAAATGGATTGAAGGATGATTTTAATTTTGAGGGCATTGAATTGATTACTAGAATAGTTGATGTGGACTATGTGGAGGCAAAGAAATGTTCTGAATGGGCTTGTTCTAAAGGCAGCGACGTAAGAATTTTTATTTTCATTGTTTAGTTTATTTGACAAACTTGTCTTGCATGAAATTGTTGGCTTGATTGTGTTTGCTAGCATTGTGCTATTCATAACGTATCTATTTGTAGACCTGGGAAAAATTCGTTTTTTAACAATATTTAATAAGTTCTAATTTCAGTTTGTGGTTCATGTTGGAGTTCAACCAACACCTGGCAAACTGATGATAGAATCAAAATCCTTCAAAGATGGCTACATTTCTCCAGATATTAATGGTTTTTTAATTGATTAATTTTTGATGTTTATATTTTATTTTTCAGGTTCTGTCCCTCTTATGAATTGTTGTAAACCTGGAACTGAGGAAGATTCAGAGCTTGATACTTGTATTTGTTGTGATGATGTAAAACAATTTGTTATGGATTCACTTAGTTTGGAGGAGCTTCCAATTGAAATTGAAGTTTCAAATAATCCGGGAAGGTTTGTTTGAGAATAGCTAAACAATTGTTAAATATAAGGATTTTATTGTAATGCAAGACATTCGTTCTTGATGAGTATTTCTTAACCCAAAGTCCTAATTAATTCTGCAATTGAATTTTTTCTATTTTTTAGATATCTTTGTGCCTACATTTTTTATTGCTCATTATTTGCCACACGTGGTCGTTCACTTTTTGTTCACATTCCACCATTTGATGATGAATGTACAGCTGAACTGCTCATTCTTGTGTTAAAACAAATTTTAATTGCGATATACAAACTTTACTTGAATCAAAATGTGAATGTACAAAGTGTATAAAATTACTAAAAAAATTTTATATTTTTTTTTACATTGAAGGAGTTTGCTCCGCATTCTCGATGATTATTTTTGTAGTTTTTTATGAGAATTTAATTCTTTAAACTTTTTTTTCGATTTATCTTTAAATAAATGGGAAGATGGGAAAAAGAAAGCACCAACATCACCACGAGGACGACGAAGCTCTGGGCGATAGTGAGGCTTCTGTTGCTGCTTCAAGTTCAACTAACAGGAATGACGATTTCTTCGTTTCCCCACCTTTAAAATGGAGCAAGCGAGAAATAAGTTCGATTGATGGAGACAATATTGGAGTAAATGGAACATCAGAACGTTTTCCTTCAAAATTAAATGGACATATTCAAGAGAATGATGTCAAAAAAGCGATTTGGCTTGTGAGGAAACCGAAGAATGTGAGGAGGGTTTTCGATTGATAGTTAAAATATTTTTTTTATTTTAGATGCCAATTGAACAATTAAATGGATTGAGATTTTCGAGAAAGCCCAAATATAGCACGCAGGAATTTTCAATGGAAAATGAGGGAAATGAAACGAGTACAAAATTTGAGTGTCGACTTGCACGTCCGTCATGTGCAATGTTACATGCAACGTCTGAAGAGACTAGCAATCAAAAGCCAAAAATGATTCCAGGTTATTTTTAAATTAGAAAATTTCTAAGGATTCATTCATTTTCTGAACTGAAAGGGGGCTTTTGATCTTTTTAGATTTTCACAAAAAAAAATTAAAAACATTTTAGGTAATTTCATTAGAGGTACAGCTTGGATTGGCGAGAACTTATCAATAGAAAGTTGTGCTAGTTCCAGCGCTGCAACAACTAGCGAAATGTCATTTCTAACGGGTATAGATGAATTTCAAGATCCAGAAATTAACAAAATTCAATTTCATTCCATTCGGCGTAAACCGCGATTAAATTTGAAAAAATTGAAAGAACGATTAAAACCACATGGAGTGCTACAAATTGATGAGGATGAAGAGGAACAAGACGAAGAAATACAAGAAGATATAAAACCAAATATTGAAATGATGAGAAAAAAGCAAAAATTGAAATGAAGAAGAAAATTAAAATTAATAAAACCCAATTACAGGTGAAATTTGCAAAAAAAATTACAAATATTTCTCATTTCTAAAGTGTCTTAAATTTTGTTGATTTCTTTAAATTTGTTGACTAAAATGCTCACTTTGTGATTATTTCTAAATAAAATTCCTAAATGTTTTTTGACAGGGTTCCAGACATTTTTTTATTTTTATATAAATAAATGTTTAAAATAATTTTTTGAGAAACTAATCAACTCTCAATAAATACAAAAATACCTAAATAACATTTTTGTCTTTTATCTTCATTTAGCTTGTGTCTGGATGGTAAATATCATCATCAGCGATACACTTAAAAATAATTTTAAGTTTATAAAATAAAAAAAATATTTACATAAAATTCAACAAACACCATTTGGTCCGATTGTGGAATAAGTAACTGCAAAAGAAAAATTAATATAAATTTGGGAATTGAACTTTAGGGACACATCTTCATTTGTCCTTTTTCTTTGATCTACTTCTGGCAACTAAACCAACCAGAAAAGATTAATTTTAGGTTATAACAAGCAGAAACTAAATAATGATTTTAATGCATGCTATGTGCAATGGATATCCCTTCTGAGATTTAGTCCCAAGGGATAGAACAAAGGAAAATATTAAATGAAAATAAGGAAAACAAAGCACCTGAACACAAAGCACTCCTCTTTGATCTATTCGAAGCGAAACTTTATTTGAAAGACGTACACTCTCTGCTAGACGTTTGATTTGAATAGATCTATATTGAAAACAAACTCTTTCTTCTTTGCAAGTTAAATGTTCTGTATGAGGGGCATTTGCTGGCAATTCAATCTTTAAAAATTATTTTTTTAAAATAAATTTATATATTTTTTACCTTAATTTTCCCCAATTCTCCAACTGTATAAAAAGCAATATAATTTTGTGTAAATATAAGCATAACAGTTTCAGCAGAATTATCCAAATCTCGAAGAATTTCTTTAACTGGAGTTGGGCTAAGTATTGCTTTACACATCACATAAGTATTTGTAAATTCAAAATCAAGCATCTTAAAAATAAATATTTTTAGAAAAAAATTATTCTAAATTAATTTACACTTTGTAAATTTAATGTTCTAATTGCTGCTTGTACAACAATACCTTTTTTAAAAAAATATAAAATTATTTAAATTAAATCCAATCTCACTATAGTAGAACACCTCAAGTTAAAAATTTGATTAACCACCGGTGGGGGAGATGACTAATAATAAGCTAGTTAAAATGAAAGGACGATAGAGATGTTCCTTATAGTGAGGCTCGACTGTATTTTCAAAAAAACCTTCATCTTCCTGACAAACCATTAAAGGGCTTCCTTCCCCGTCATACCACATTCTGAGAACAGAAGTATTTCCAGTAAACATATTTAAAGCTTCCTTAAAAATAAAAAGAATTTTTTTATAAAAATTTAAAAAAACCATAAAAACAGCTATAGGCACTCGCAAATTACAAACATTTACACGAATATTATAATCAGAAAATTGTTCATATTTAAAATAAGCACTTGCTTGTTGATTATGTTGATCATCAATTACTACTCTAATACCTTCATTATTAACGATTAAAGTACAATACTAAAAATATTAAATATTTTGAAGGGTTATTTTAAACTTTATGGGTTCCTTTTGATTTTTATAAAATTTTAGTAAAAATAATTTCTGGAATACTATTTTATTGATCAACTAACCAGAGGGAAAATTGTTAAAAAATGAAAATAGGTAACCCATAAAGTTCAAAATCATTTAATTAAAAACCTCTCGAAATGCCAAAGCTTTAACAATTTGATAAATTTCCCTAGCATCATGCTTCACAACTTCAAACCAATGACCCTGTTCTGATGAATCAACCACTGAGAAACTAACAAAATCATCTTCTCCAGCTCCACGTTCAATTTCATCATGAATTGGTGACAAATTTGAAAATCTTTCGTCATTTTCTAGTAAAAATGGTTGTTGTTGAGACATTAAAACTGGAATTAAAGGGGAAACTCTAATTTTCTGTCAATATTTGGTTACTAAAACTCAAGGCGGGTTAAAGGGAAAATCTACTGGCATTGTATTTTTTTAGTCAAAAAAACAGTTAAACAATTATGAAAATTTTGATAATAAATAATACGCAAATATTGGCAGTATGCCATGTGTTAAGGGAAAATTTTTTGGTTTTTTAGAATATTTCGTAGCGCTGGCAAAACATGTGTTTGGCGAATAGAAAAACTTCATTAGCTGGCAAATAGAATTAAGTGTGCGGCGGATCGATTTTCTGGCAGGCGTCTTGGTTTTTTGTGGGGGTTGTCGCGCGTGATGTTAAAATCAATGATCTTTAACTCGTGTTTTAACGAGTTCATTCATTCACATATAAATTAGTTAATTTTTCCATTTATGGTATTTATTTTCCATAATTTGATGGTTAGCAATGAGAGTTGTTTAGAATTCTTTGTTACTCAAAAAAGCGATTTTAGATTTAATTTTTCATGCAAACATCGACAAGGACAAGGATTTCGACGGCCCAGGCTATTTATTTTATGCCAGGCGGGTCTTCTACCGAATCAGAGGGTGGCAGATTACATCCTCAAAAATTATCTAAAGTTGAACAACAAAAAACATTAAAAGCTAAAAAACAGCCAACTACTCCCACAGTTAATTCTACAACGCTTATTCATGTCACACCACGGCGATCTACTCCAAAACAACGTATTCGAAGAGAACATTCAGCTTCAATTACAATACCACCACGAAGTGCACTTTCGGCGACTGATTTTTCTTTGCGATATACACCACCAGCTGTTATTACTGAAGGTATAAAATTTTGGCTAATGAGGGGTTTTTTGGAGGGGGTTTTGTTAGTTAAGGAATTTTCTTTACAGGGGGATTCAACTTTTTAGAATTAGAGATTATTGTCATTTAAGTTAATGAGGAGCAGAATTGAATGACTTAAATTTTGGATTTTTTAGGTTTGTCATCGACCGTTTTTGCTGGTTCCAAATTTACTGATTCGCCTTCAGCTAAAAGTCTTCCTCTTCCTCCATCTCAATGGCTTTCACCATCTGCGTTTAACGAGAATAAAATGGCTGCAAATAATGTTAAGGATGACAATTTAACCAAAACGCCAACTAAATTTTTCGTTCCAACCACTGAAGGAGATCGAAATGGAGGCAGTGGAGGTATTCGAATGCATCCACTTCATTTAATTGCTGCGACAACGATGAGCTCGTAGAAAATCTGGTAAAAGTTTTACGAAGGCGAGTAATATTTGTGTTAATTTTGCTTTAAATGCAATATTGAATGTTTGGGAAATGTTTATATCCTTTTTTAACGCTAAACATTCAAATGGAGGGATTTTTAAATATTTTCTTGTTATTCACTAGTTGTTATGGTTCCGTGGGTATCAGTATAGTATTAAGATTAAATGTAAAACCAAAATTGAATGTTTAGCGTTAAAAAGCAAAACATTAAAGTTCACTAGAGGAGGGCGTCCGTTTAAACTCATTCTATTGTTTGGCAGTTATCTCTGAGGACTTAATTTTTGTCTAAAACTAGCCAGTTGTTTTATCTCACTCTCCAAACTGGTCTAACCAAATTATCATTATTTTAGCATTCCTTTTTTTAATTTTTGTAGTATTTTTTGTTTTTTTTGGAATCTTCTTTTCTGATTTTCGTTAAATTTCTCTAAAAAAATACTACGAAAATATATGCTTTTATCTGCCGATTACTTCTTTATATGCCCTCATTCTAACCTTAATATAAAAAAACGGTACTTATCGGTTATCTCCCCACACATTATTTTCCTTTTATTTCCCCTTCTCTTTCTTCCCATAAGTTACAAAAATGGGGATTTTCTTTCCTTGTTTTCCCTCTTCTTCTTCCCAAAAGTTACAAAAACGTCACAGGCAAATAATTGTAATTAATAAATTTATTTTAATAAAGAAAAAATGTAATTTAAAAACATTATTTAGTGGTCCAAAACTGTCTTAAAAAATGTCAAAAATGCCAAAAATCTTTAAAATCCATTTGAAAATACAAGTACCAGGACTTATATACTTGCTAAAATGTGTGACACATAAAAGGCTGTGACATTTTGTAACTTTTGGGAAGAAGGAGAAGAGGGAAAAATGTGGCATTTTTGTAAATTATGGGAAGAAGGAGAGGGGGAAATAAAAGGAAAATAATGTGTGGGGAGATAACCGATAAGTACCAAAAAACTCGCAACAATCACTGCACTCTACTTGTAATTTTTTAAGATGATTGAAAAGTTTTCAAAAAAAATTCTTACGTTTTTTGTACTTTTTTCTTCAACTTTGAAAACTTTTCATTCTCAAAAAAATTAATTTAAAAATTTCATTAATTTGTAAATATTTAAATCTCCTCTCTCTCTTATCACATTTTGGTTCCGCTCTTAAAAAATTTGTTTCTGAGTGTGTTCCTCCTCTCCCAATTATGTGCACATAAACAATAATTTGTGTATATTTCCCAATGTTTTCCCTACTTTTTAAAATTTAAAGTTTGTGCATTTGCATTGTGAAAACACAATTTTTACCTCATTGAATAAAAGTTGCGATGTTTTTTAAATTTTTTAAATACAAAATTATTGATTTTAATTTGATATTTTAAATTGATTTTTATGAAATGGGTTAATTTTGTCGATTAATTTTCTTTCCCTTTATGGATTTCCTTTCTTTTTAATTTACAAATAGTGTAAACTTTGTTTTATTTTTGTCAACGTTTTTATGATAATTGTAAGGGGCTAAGATTATCTGTAATTTTTAATCTGAGCCGAGGGAAAATGAAATTGGCGACAAAATTGTTGGGGACTAGTGTGACGACAAAACATTTTTCTGACATTTCCTAATATTTTTTAGTATCATCTACAAGTTTATTATGGCTGAAAGTGACAGTTCATCTACAAGTCTCTCTTCTCTCACACCATCGGAAGAGGAACATGTTGCAAAGGTTTATAGGTCTAACTTATTATTCTATTCTCTTTTTAAGGATATTAAGAGAAAAGAATCTGAAGACGTGCAAACTTCTGAAAAAGTTGACCAAGAGACGATTTCTCATGGTTCTGATTCGACAGCTGAAGATGAACGCGTTTTTGAAGTTAATTTTGGGAATGGATGTTTTTCTTAATTTTTAAAATTAGGTTGAAAGCATTAATGGACATAAAAAAGTTCATGGAAAGGATTTATGGCTGGTACGTTGGTCTGGTTATGGACCTGAGCATGATACTTGGGAGCCGAATGCTAATTTATTGAGTGAACATGTGAAGATTATGTGCAAGGAATATTTGGATAATAATAAAAGTGCTAAGAGAAGCCGTAACAGGCGATCGTCTGGAAAGGTTCTAATCTTCAATTTTCTCTTAGTTTTTTTTTATTTTTCAGGTGCCTCAGCGTCGTTCTGTTATTAAAAAACCAAAGGCTGAAGAAGAAGAGCCTGTGAAATCAGAACCCAAAGTTGGAGAATCATCTGAAAAGTCTGAAAGTGGAGAAGAGGCCGATGGTACAAATTCTGAGGGATGGTTTGGAATCAAACCTGGGGAGGGATCTAGAGAACAACAACGTTTATTTGTCCCAGACAGACGTCTATCAAAGACGGAAAAGGTTTTAAATACTTTTTTACCTTCATCTTTTATTCAAGCCTATAAATTTCTAATTGACAATTAAGATTCCTTTTTTTTCTTATGTATATAGTTTATCCTCTTTTTTAGTTATTAAGTGAAATCAATTGTTCACCTGGCGTTCGGGTCCTCCGAAATCAGCTGAAACCTCATTCTGGAGATTTAAGTGATGGTACTTCAGCATCAACCTCTCCAAAAAAACGTGGACGCGCTCCTAGAAGTTATTTTTTGTCTCTATTTTTTAAATAATTTTTTTATTAGAATCTGCAATTGAAAAATTACTCGCAACTTCTTCGGATGTTTTTACTTCAGAATCTTCTCCAGCATTGGATGTGGGACAAAAAACGGGCACTACAGACAATGAGGAGGACAAATTCAAAAAAGACGAGAAGATTGAAAAGGTATTTAAAAATTACTAGACTTTATGGATATTTACATTAGAATAATCTTTGACTTGAAATGGGATTGTAATTGCCAAAAATCCCTAAACGTGGGAAGGTCATATATACTCTAATTTTTCTTTAAGACTCGTCAAAAGAAGCCTTCAAAAGCTGTCAAAAAGTTTGATTCTTTTAAGGAGCCTGACTCCATCAACAAACAAGAAGTTAAAAATGCTGTCTCTGATGTGAATAACTTTTCTTCAGAGCCTATTAAAAGTACAATAAAACAATCAGTCTCTGAATTGGATTTGGCGCCGAAACCTGGGAGTTCCGGAATTCATACTCAACAAAAACAACCATCTCCACCAATTGTTAAGCCTATATTAACTTCGCATCCTAAGTTGGAAAGAAAGACAGAATCTAAAGAAGGAAAACAATTTGGTGTTAGTGGAAATTTAAAATTTGTAAAGAGAGATGGAAAAAAGGTTTGAGATTTTTAAAGCAACTAATTTGTTATTTATATAGCTATCTGAAACGTCGACCTCATCAAAAAAGAAAATCAAAAAAATTACATCTGTTGCATCGTTAAATTCGAGTACTGATCTGCCTTTAAAATTATTACCTGATGGAGCAAATATTGCGTTAGAAGCTGAAAAAATGCTGAAAAAGAAGTTATTAAAAAAAGCTGATACACCTCCTGTGACTCAAGAGGTTTAAATTTAATTGCTAAACTCCGTAGCCACTTTTCTCTAATAATTATATTATCTTGAGGAATTTGATGAGCTTGTCCTTGATGGAAAGGTAGAAAAAGTTCGTGAATTGCTGATATTAAATGGTCAAAAGCCTTTTTTGGATCTCAATCGTTGCGATGATTTGGGTAAAGCACTCGTACATAAGGTTTTATACACAAAATTAACACACAAGATTAATTTTTTAGCTTTGTGAAATCCGTTGTGGCGTTTCTCACACACAATGTGAGCTTATTACTTTATTGGTTACGAATGGGGCGCGTTTGGATATGGCAGAACATAGTAATGGACAAATTCCTTTGCATGTTTGTCTTTTTATATTAAATTCTTTTTATATTATTCATTTATTTTTCAGATAGCAATAGCAAATCGTCGCATTTGTCATGTCAAAACTTTACTTTCTTTACGAACACCGCTTAATTCACCAGATCGAAGTGGTAAAACACCAGCAATGCAAGCATTAGAATGTAGTAGTGATTACGATTTTTTAAAGTTGTTATTGTCTTTTGGTGCATCATTTACTCAATGTAAAATATTTTTTTAATTTCTAATTTATGTCTTGTTTTTTAGTGTCAGATAAAGTCTATAAGGACAAAGAGAAATATAAAAAACAATTGAGAATTATTTCTGAACACGAGAGTCGAATTCGGCGTGCATTTAATTCTGCTAGAACAAACGTTACAATGTAAGGGATATTTTGATAAATTAATTGTTATTCTTTAAAATTTAAGGGAAATGACGTTGAGAAATGTTTCTCAAGTTTTTGTGAGTCCTTTACATGAAGGAGAAATGATACAAAACTTTACATTAAATACACAACCACAATTACCTGATACGAATCATGCTTATGTATTGTTTGTTGCCGTTGCAGAATTTCAGTGTGACGATACAGATGTAATTGTTTTTTTAACTTAAAGGGATTTATTGAAATGGTTGGTCATTCTTTTTGCGTTCGCGGTATTCCATCCCTGCTTTTTTAAACATAGCGGCCGTGTAATTATTGGTGGATTGGTTCAATTCTTCTGTATTATTAAACATTAAATTTACAACATTTTTAGAAAGAACTTTGTTGCACAGTCAATGCTCGAATGTGGGGTCGAAGTCCAGTTATCAGCGCTAGTATGAACGATAAGGAGTGCGTGCAACTTAAATCAGGGAATAACTTTGCTTTTTTGTGTGTTCCGTGTAGGGATAGAAATGTTATACGAATGAAGTTTGATCCGGCATTGGTTGACTTTTCAGATTTAATGGTTTTGGTTCAGATGGTTTTAGTTCAAATGCATAACCGTCCAGCGAATCATTCCCGACTAATTCACTGATAATATTTTTGTTTGATTCTTTAAATCTTTTTCATTTTGTATTGGCTTACATATGGGATAGATATACTCTTTTGCTCATTTATGTAATAAATTATTTGTTCCGAGTATTTTTGTTTCTTGTTTTTATTTTGTTATTCTCCATATACTTATATAGTATAAGCAGTATAAGTCATGACTATACTAATATAGTGTAGTGATGGTAAAAGTTCTTATTGAGACGTCATTTTCGATTCGTCTCGACGGTCTGACTCCCCACTATGGTTTTACGATTTTTGGGACCCATCGGTCCAGATCCTAAAGTAGGGATTGGCACCATTCGACTCAGCTACGAATCGAGTGGTACATGTTCGATCAGAACTTTTACACCCGGTGCACTACACTACAACTTTGTCCGTTATATGTTCGCCGGCTTGCATCTGTTGTTTTTTCTGAAGTTCTAGAGAGTGTCTTTTCAAAAAATTTTTTGAAACGATTCCTTGTATTGATTTTTAAATCATACTGTATTTTCTGAAAAAACGTCATGGATATTTTAAGGTTTATGAGTAGAATTTTAAAATTTTTTTATTTTCTTTGGTTAGAATTCTCTGTTTTTTTTTCAGAAAAATTAGCTAAATGTCAGAAATTGAGAAAATCTATTCAAATGATGTTCAACCTGAGAATCAACAAGCCGTGAATAAAACTTCTGAGGATTTTCCAGCAAAAATTGGGCCTGCTTTGCAAGATGAAGCTTCTGTCGCAACGACAAATGGTGGGACCAATGGAGATGAACAGGTGAAAGATGAACATTCTAATGATGTTAATAAAGTAGAAGATGTTAGTAAAGCAGAAGAACTAAAGGAAGAAAAAATGGAGGAAGCAAAAGGAGAACAAATGGATTCACAGTTGGTTTGTTATTATATTTGAATTTGATATGTTATTTTTCTATTTAAGCCAGAAAAGAGCTATGAAGATAATGAGGCATACAAAATGTTTATGTCGAAGAATTTGCACAAACCTGTAGCTGACAGTCTGATGAAAATGTTTGAAGAGATTGGGACTACAACTGCCGAGTTTGATGACAGGGCTGTAGAGATGTTGGCAACTTTTCCATCTGAACAAGGAAAATATATTATTAAAGAGCTTCACGTTAGTATTTTTACGTTTTATTTTTTAACTTATTTCTCTTAAAGAATTCTCATCTTTTTGGCGTGCAAAATACTCCACAATATTTGATGTTCGTAATTTATGTTCGTTATTAAAGTTTTTTTCATTTCTTTAGGTCAGTTATGCGTAACTTTCGTGATCGTCTTCGCTCGATGGGAGCACAATCAGCGATGGAATTGCCATTAATCCCCGGCCCTGATCCAATAAAAATGAAAGCCTTAATTGGTTAGATTTATTTTCGTACACTAACTTTTTAACCTTTTAGAGCGTACCCAGTATCAACTTGAAGTTACTGTTGGTCAACGTAAATATCATTCTCCTCCTGGGTATGAAGGCCCTGATCCAAATCAATCTGGTGAAGGGGGCTGTGTGAGTACTTTATTTTAGTTTTTGTATTAATTTCCTTTTTAGGTTTACATTGGCCAGATCCCTAAAGAGATTTATGAAGACACTTTGGTTCCTTTGTTTGAGCAGGCCGGACAACTCTATGACTTGCGTAAGTTTTGGATTTCTTGTATCATATATTTTTATTTATGATATTTTTAACAATTTAAGGAATTATGATGGATCCAGTCTTGGGTAAGAGTCGTGGATATGGCTTTCTCATCTTTTGTAAGAAGGCAGATGCCATTGAAGCAGCTAAAAAGGTCAGTTTGCATTTTTGTAGGTTTCTCTTTGGCATGGTTTCTGTTGGCATTTCTTTGATTTTTAACAGCTATGTTTTATTATCAGTTTAGTTTAAACCATGCCATTTCTTTTTTTATTTTCTAGTTTTTTTGAAGGTTTTTAATGGTATTTTTTAATTTTAACTTCACAACCTCAACAATATTCAGTCTTTAAAATAATTATAATGCTTTTTCATCGTTCTGATTTTATTACCTTTATATTTCTCTGATATCCTTTTCCAATTCGAGTAAACGACGTGCATACTCGATTCACCAAACATCTTTTTCATTAAATATATCTTTTTCGCATATAACAATCATAATTTTTGTTGCAATTAATTTTAGAGCTAATATACTTTTTGTGTTCAAAAGCGGTAAAAATTAACCGCTCTTTTTCAAATTTTATGAAATTTGCAGAAAAATTTACACTAAAAAAGAACGAATTTTAGTTTGACGGACATGAAATTCTGCCTGGAAAACCACTTAAAGTGAATGTATCCGTCGCGAACACTCGACTTTTTCTCGGAAATATCCCAAAATCAAAATCAAAAGACGAAATTCTTGAGGAATTGAAAAAGCACGCAGGTAAATTTTCGGCGCCTGGGTCCCCTAAAAATTGAAAAAAAAGAGGAAGTAGACGCCAAAATTAATTTAATTGTTTAATTTTATTTTTAAAATTTTTAGATAATATAGATGATGTGATTATTTATACTAATCCTGATTCGCAAGATGGGCGCAAAAATCGGGGATTTTGTTTTATTGACTTTAATGACCATAAAACTGCTTCGGATGTTAAGTTTGTAATTTTCTAGGTTTTACAAATTTTTGGTCTTTTTTGATTATCCTTTTATTTTTTTAACTTTAAATTTTCTAGGAGAAGAATCACCATGGGAAAAATTCGACCGTGGAATACTGATTTGGTTGTTGATTGGGCAGAACAACAGGATGAACCAGATGATGAAATAATGCAGCAAGTAAAAGTACTTTATGTACGCAACTTGAAGGAGTGTGTTACCGAAGAACAACTTACCTCACTGTTTGCTACTCATGGTAAAATTGACAAAGTCAAGCGGATTAAGGATTATGCTTTCATTCATTTTGAGGAGAGAGAGTCAGCGACAAAGGTTTTTATTTTAAAAATTTCTTTAAGGATTAGTTCTATCGATAATTGGTCATTCATTTTCATTATTTTAAAATGATTCATTCTATATCTAATTCTAAGTGCCCAGAAATACTATTATTTTTAAAATCCCATAATGATATAATAAATTTAAAATGGACTGAAAATTATATTTTTAGGCGCTTGCAGCTCTGAACAAATCTGAACTCGAAGGCGTTGAGATTGAAGTTTCATTGGCAAAACCTCAGAATGATCCGAGCGTGAAAGGAAAAGGGAAGGCTGTGAGGCGTTTTCCGCTACCAACTTATGGAGCAGAATATGGTTTTTTATAGATTCAGAACTCAATTATCAACTTTCCTTTTTAGCAACGCCTGGACTCGGCCCTCGCAACCGAAGAGATCGTGTGGGACGCAGTGGAAGAGACCAAAGAGGAGGAGGGGGTTATCAGCAAGTTTACCCAGGTGGTGGATATCTCCCTCCTGTTGGTGGATATGGTGCTTCTTACGATCCTTATTATCCTGGATATAGCACTGCTTATGGCGCTGGCTACGATATGTACGGAGCTGGAGCATACCCTCACGTAGACCCCTACTATGGACAACCATTGGCAGCATATGGTGCACCAGGACCTTCCATGCGCGGTGCATCAGGAGTGAGTTTTAATATTTTTAAATATGAACATCTTAACTTTTAAAATTTGAGGCTAGCAGTTACGGATATGGTGGTGGTGGCACAGTTACACGTGGTCGTGGAGGCAAACCAAGTGGACATGGCGCAGCACGTTCAGGATCAGGAAAACGAGGTAATAGAGGCGGTTCTAAGCGTGCGGGTGTTGATTATGCTGGACCGGCCTCTAAGCGTGGCGGTCGTACAGAAGATTTCTCTGCAGATGTCCCAATGAATTTGTTCTGATTGGTCAAGAAGTGGATACATGAATAAAACAATCAATTTGCTATGCACCCTTCATCGCCACATTCAGTCTTCATAAAAATGGCAATTTTTAGAAAATGTCTCATTTATTTGCTCTCTTGTTGTTTTGATAAATTAAATTTTGCATATTTTTTCTCTTGAATAAATGTGTCATTTGACTATTTTTGTATTTTATTAATTTTATTTTCGATAAAAATGAATATTTTGTGAATATTTTAAATTTTATGTTGGTCTTTGGTTTAATTAGTATTAGGGTTGCTGAATTAGCGATACTGGATCTACTTTATATTAATTGACTTTTAATAAGATGGAATTTGACGGAACATTATCATTGAGTCCCGGAGCAATATTTTGAACCATAACTTGTTCAATCTTAACTGATTTGAATAATTATTCAATCGAAAACTCTGGATGTGAAGATTATTTTATCTAGCAGGATTAATCTGATCAGATCAAGACACAAAAAGTAAAACCTAATAAGGTTCAAAAATCACGATTGCGCGCATTTGTCAAATGTAATTTTTTGTAGGATGATCTGATCAAATCAATTTAGTTGGCGAGAATAATCCACAAATACAGGGCTTTCGAATGATAACGGTAAGTTATGGCCTCTCCGGGACTCAACCGGCGGGACTCAATGCTTCCCTTCCCAGAATTTGATGATATTTTTGTAAAATTTTGTTAATTTAATAATTTCATTTAAGGATAAATTTCAAGAAATTTAAAAATGGTTTTTAATTATGAAGGGAAGAATCCTGATATGCCAAAGACAAATACTTTGTAAGTTTTGAAAACGGTTTATTTTCTGAATAGTTATGGTTATTCAATTTATTTTTTTAGAAATCCAACAATAACCGGGGCAATTGCTATGGCTGTTTCTTTTGATGATGGTGTTGTTTTAGCTTCTGACCGAAGTGCTTTCTCTTCATCTATGCAACGTTTTCATAATGTTTCACGTCATTATCGTGTAAATGACCGTTGTGTTGTTGTCTTTTCTGGAGATTTTGCTGACTTTCAATGGGTAAAGAATTTAATTGAATGCAAACAGATGGAATTACAACAAGGAAATATTAAATTTTTAATGTCACCAAAAATGGTCCATTCATTTTTAACAACTCTTTTTTATAATCGGCGTTCTAAAATGAATCCGCTTTGGAATACTATTATTGTTTCTGGTATTTTTTAGTGTTTTTATTTTTTTTTGTTTAACAAAATTTCATTTTAGGGATGGAGGCAGTACCTTTCGAAGCAGGAAAATTTGAGACATTTATTGGCGTTGTTAACCTTGTATTTCTTTTTTTAGTTTTTTAAATAAAGAAAATTAATTTTTAAGTATGGAATTGCTTTTGTGGGTAAATTTGCGGCAACAGAGATGGGAATGTTTTTGCTTCGTCAAATGCTGGAATCTCGTCGAAAAGAAGTACTTTCAAGAGAAGAGGCTATTGCTTTGCTGAAAGAAGCTATGGAGGTTTGTATAAAAATTTTGGAATAATTTCGGAATACTAAACAGACTCCGATTGGGACAAGTTATATGTCGTTCGACTCAGCTCGGCGAGCTGAGTCGAATGACATCAAAAAACCGATTGGGACTTAACTATGGGCCGAGATACAGGGCTCGAAATGGTCAAAAACCATGGGGGGGACCAAGCACTTTTTTGGGGTGAAAAATTCGAAAATGCAAATAATAGCTCATTGGAAAGAGCTTCTCGAGCTGAGTCGAATGAGACCATAATCGCCGTGATTAGTCAAGTTTATTCGAAGTTATGACAGAAAAAACAAACAACGTAAACCTATGGGGCGTCGGCGTGGCGCTTGTGCAAAACTCCGCGCTTCGCGCGGAGTTTTGCGGCACGCGCCTCGCGGGGAGTCTACGGGCGCTGGGTCTGGGCTCGTAACTTAATCCTATTCCAATTATCGCTGTAATGGGTTATCTGGCTTCCTCCGTAGCAGGAAAAACCTCGACGGATACCAAAGGTAAGGAGCTAAAACAAACGATCATAACTTTGTCAAATCAAGTCGGATTTCGTTGATTTTGGTGTCATTCGACTCAGCTCGATGAGCTCTTTCGAATGAGGTGTAATTTGCATATTCGAATTTTTCACCCCAAAAAAAGTGCTTGGTCCCCCCTATGGTTTTTGACCATTTCGAGCCCTGTATCTCGGCCCATAGTTACGTCCCAATAGATTTTTTGATGTCATTCGACTCAGCTCGCCGAGCTGAGTCGAATGACATATAACTTGTCCCAATCGGAGTCTGTTTAGTATTCCGAAATTATACCAAAATTTTTTGGGAAAATTGGATATTTTTTTAACTGAAGGGGGTTTTACGTTTAGATTTAATTGTTCAATTTTTAATGGAAATGAAATTTAATTTTAAAGGTATCTCTGTATCGCAACGCCAAAACTGGAAACAGCTTTGATTTGACTATAATTGATAAAGACGGGGTGAAGAGCACAGAAATTACTGGATTTATTGGTGATTGGGGAATTGCAGAAAAATATAAGAATATTTCCCATGTATTTTGAATATTAATTGGAATTTTGTTGAAAAATTATGTATTAAAAATTGGAATTTATTTCTGAATTTAATAAATTTAAGATTTATAAAAATCAAGTAAAAGTGAATAATGTACGAACTTTTCTTGAAAACAATGATCATATGAAAAGTAAAACCAGATAAGTAAGATCAATCGTGATTTTGAACTTCATCTGGCTGCAACTTGCCGTATGATAGTCAGATCAGTCTTTCTAGGAATAATAATTCGAACATCCGGACCAGTGACGTCTCACATCAGTCAGTATCACCGATTCAGTATATCGGTTTTTAGATCATAACTTTTTGTCCTATCAATATTATAGAAATTTTTAAATATTATTCGACGGGTATCTTTTTATAATATTTTTTTATAATTGGACTGATCTGGTCTGATCATTCTATAAAACGTCGTCCTTTACCACTAGCATCCAGAGAGTGTTCGGCACGTACTGACGAAAGGTGTGTACAAGTTAAAATTTTGGAATTTTGCTTACTGACCGAACACTAATTAAAGTATAAAACCATACAAATTGGCCAAGAATTTAAAAGTTGTGATCCAAAATAGAACCTTGGCACTGAAGCTAAGTGCCGTAATGACAAAATCCCGTCGCTTTCGTTGTTTGCATTTACGCGTTTTTACACTTGGCGTTTTGTCATTTTCTGATGAAATTTTATTCAACCTCGAGTTTGTGATTTTGTTTTTGGATTTACCTATCTTTTAATTGTAAACATACCTATTTTTTACATAGATAATATATTTAATATTTTAATATACAATGGCATCATTAGCCTCCCAGTCACGTCATGGAACTGAGAAAGGAATTGTTTTGCGAATTGAGGGAGATTGTTTTATTTTTGTTTGGTCACCATCTCATACAATGAATGAGTTAAAGTTTATTGACCAAGATCAACAACACAGTGTAAATAATTTGTATTTATAAATCTGATGTTTTTTTTTATTTATTCCAGCCTGGAGATTTTATAAGTTTTAAACTCACTGCACCGTTGGATCATCTTCAAACTTGCGATTCTATTGCTAAAATACGTCCTCCTCGAACTGTTACAGTTATTGATCGTGATCCAGCACCGATTAATGTAAGTTTAAAATTAAATTAATTATACTCGTTTCTCTTCTCTAAAATTATTTAAAGCTCTTTATTTTTTGCTCAAGTTGGGAGTAACTTGCAAAAATAATTTAATTATTTGTCGGAATTTTAAAACTTGCAATTTTTAAACTTACCAGAAGTGACAGGGAGAAAAACTTTAAATTTCTTTTTTAAATTATTTAAATTGTTTTAAATTTTCAGATTTTAGTTCAAGTTGGCTTTCCTCCTCGCGATTCCAACTATTTTGATAAGGATTTAATCGATACTTTGGATTATGGTGTTATTTTTTATTGTTACTGTCCTGAATTTGGAAAATTGGCGTCGTTTGATTTACTTGATTCTGAACCTGGGCATTTCTATAATGCTTGCATTGAACGGTTTTTCTTTTTAATTTTGTATATAAAATTTCTTTTTAGTATTCCTTTACAAAATGATTGGATAATTAAAAAGCTTGGAACAATGTTTATTTTGGTTAATCAACCGCTTACTATTATTGAAAATGAAACTGAGATTGCTCGTCTTAATTCTCTCATGCCTTGGAATCGTTTACCGTCATCAACATCTTCTCACTGTCAAACAACGCAACAAACTCATATTTACCAACCAAAAAAAGAAGAAACATCTTATGGAGCGACAGTACGTGCTTTGCTTGATAATGTTCAGTTAACTGAAGGAAATACTTTAAAAACTAAGGAAAACAATCATCAAATGGAGAATGAGGTATTTTTAAAATATTGTTTTTTAATTTGATTTTTCCTTTATGATATTTGGAGTTTTTTTTTTGTTTCCGATACAACCTTTAAAGATTTTCTTTTTTAAATAAAATTTAAGTATACCCCAAAGCGCTGGCCTCCTCCAACAAATTCTGAACTTTCTTCTACTTTAAATACTAAATTTCCACGAAAGAATGATTTTGGTGATTTGGAATATTCCAATAATTCTTGTGGAGGGACATCTACAAAAACGACAACACCAACAAATAATAATTTATTTTCTGAAAAGATTAATGACGTTTATTATGGAGAAAATGAGGAAATTAAACAAAAGAGAGAATTTCCAAATCAAAATATTTCTCTTATGCTTCCAACAATTTTAGAACAGAAATCTATTAATTTTCAAGTTTTTTTTCTTAAAATTTTTAGAAATTAAAAAATAATTTTTTAAGAACAGTTCTGACGTTTCTTCGCCTTCTGCTGTTAATTCTCCAATTTCAGTTTTGAGTAATAACAACAATAATGGTAGTCAATTTGGGGTTAATAATAAACTTGGTTTGTTTTTATTTTAGTAAAAAAATATTTTTGTTTAGCAGAAAATACTCAGTTTATTTGACAAAAGATTAGTTTTTTTAATTTAATTTTTTAAGTTTCCGAAATTATTGGAACAATTACAATGCTTAATGCAAGAAATATGCAAATGCAGGCGCTTGAATTTGAGAAAAATATTTTTGAAATGTGTTGCAAATTACAAAAGGAAATGTTGGAGAAATTTTAAGTAAAAAAGAAATTTATTTTAAAAATAAATTGAAAAAAAAATTCGCAAATATTTAATTTTATTTTTTTTTTTGAATTTTCATTTTTCTCTCGCAAAATTTTATTTAAACAATTTAAAAAGAGAATTAATATTTTTGAGTATTTTTTGTTTCTCTTTTTAAATTGTTTTGTTAAATTGCCAATTATTGTTCCCGAATAAATTGATTTTACAAAAAATAAATTTTTTTTGAATTTATTTTGATTTGATCAATTCACATTTTAAGATCTTAAAAACTAAAAAAATCACATTAAAAATGCCAAAAAGAAATTTCGGTATTAGAGTAAATATTTTAAAATAATTATTTAATTTAAAAATCTGTGGAGAAGGATAATAATTACAATTTTAATTTTTAAGCTTTTGACTTGTGAATTTTAATTGTGTTTAAAAACATGAATATTTTTAAATTTATATATTAAATACCTACCTATATAATTAATCTTTTTTAATAAAAAAAATTTTGTTCTCCAATTTTCCCCCCACTACTTGCGCGAACATTCACAAAAGTATATCGACCTTCAAAAAATACAAAAAAAGTCTTTCTCTTTTTAATAATTTACCTTAAAAACCATTCCATATAACCGCAACTGTCCATTCTAATTTATTCAATAAATTATCTATCTTTAAATCTAATCTATAAAAAAACCCCTCCCCCAACACAAATAAATACCCTAAAAATATATTTATTTCTTTTAATTATTTGTCCTTCAATTCTCATTCTTTTCACTTTTTTAGGTGAACCCTTATAACTTCACATTAATGAGACAAAATTAACAAAAATTATTTTGTTTTAATTCCCGAAAGGATTTTGGGCACTCTAAAATTATGTAGGTGATCATATTTATATTTTTCTTTTATTTCCGTGCAGTAACTAAAAATGTTCCTTAGTATTAATAATTAATTGGGGAAGTACTCAACCAAGACACGGCGGCCATACTAAACCTAAAAATATCGAATTCGCTTCATAGGATAAACAACAAACGAAAATAAAACTAATCCCCCTTCTTTTCTTGCAAAAATACACAAAACATTTTATTTAATTAAAATATTTTTTAGAATTAAATTAAATATGTTTCGGTTTTTTATTTTCAATCCTTTTATTTATTTATTACTCACCTTTCTATTATTTTGTTCTAAAAATATAAATCAGTATTTAGTAAACACATTTTCATTGTCACAACTGTTCAAATTAAATATTTACTAATAAATAAATATTTTTTTGTCAAATTACTTTTTTAAAAGGATCAACAACACATTGAGTAATCCTTTTTTTTATAATTCTTCATTTTTTTTAATTTTGTTGAGGCTTTAATCATAAATTTGTCCATTAAAAAGTATCTATCCCTGTAGGGATTGCCTACTAATTTTGCCAAGCAATTTAAAATCTATAATTTTAATTAAAGCAATCGCTTTTTACTCTTCTACTTTTCACTTCCATTTAAATTTAAAGTTATTTCTTTTTTCTTTTAATCAAAACATTTCTTAAAACTTCTTTCATTTACTTTTTTCAACTTCTTTACAGACATGATTCATAAAATTTAAAAAAATGTGTGTAAGCAAGTTGCTTTTAAAATAACAATTTTAGCTATCTAATACATATTTAAAATAATGTGTAAATATCATCAAAAAACATTTGTTTTAAATTAAATATAAATAAATATGTATAAACACTTTTTTAAAAAATTCCACATATATTTGTTTATGTTGTCTTTAAAACATTTTATATTTAAAATAAACAAAATCTAAATAATAACAAAAATATTTTTTTAATAATTTTAAATATAGGTATGTAGAAAGTTTTATGTAGAAATCGGAAGGTATTTTATCGGTATTACGCTTAGGAATACGGACGATACGGAATTCCGATCTCTATTTATTTGTATACAGCGTATTTGCTAAAATAATTACCCAGGGTAATTATTTGGGCTTTTTTTTTTAAAAAAAGGCTAATTATACTCTGTAATTTTTCGAATTACTCTGGCTGTAGGGAGTAATTAATAGAGCGGGGTAATTATTTGAGAGAGGGACATTATTTCAGCATTTACGGCATGTATTAACGGTCTTCCATTTTTAATTTTACAAAATTAAAGAATATTCTTTTCTCTTTTCTAAAAATCTAAACTTTCTTTCATTTCCTTTATTTAAATAAACTTTTTTTAATGTAGACTAATTTCGCCTATTGTTATTCATGTTTATTTAAAGCTTTCTCTTATTTTTTCCTTTAATCTTTTAAATTTTGTTCTCTTTTATATTTAAAAAATTATAAAATTTATTTAAATATTTCGACATTTTCAAATTAAAATATCCCCTCCCCCCCCCTCTTATTTAACTAGAATTTTATAAAAGTTTTTTCTTATTTAAATTGACTTTTTTTCTTAAAAAAACTTTTTCTTTTTCCATTTTTGACCCTTGACTTTCTTCAATTCCATTCATCATTTATTTATTTATTTATTGAACATAAAAGTCGTTTCTTTTTTTATTTTTATATGTTCATTTTAAATAAAGATGAAGCATCTACACTAAAGTAGCTTTTGCTCTCTTTTACATAATAATCCCCTTCTTTCTTTTTCCTTTTTTAAATCCTTGTTTTTATTGGAAAAGAGCAAAAATCATAAATTTATTAAAATTATTTATTTACAAATTTACTTTTTAAATTTATTTTTACAAACATCTACTGCACTTAAACAATTTACAAATTAATTTTATTTATTTTTTTAAAATTTTTCCCTTCTAACATTTTTTAAATTGCGCAACAAATTATTTTGAAATTAAAGAATTTTTTAAAAATATTCTCCTCCCTCCAGTCCATTTCCTCCTCTCCTTTCCCCTCCTTCCAATCAATCCATCAAACAAAATATTTATTCAATCTCTTCGATTAAATCCACAAATCGCCTTTTCTTCTTCCTTCTCCACAATTAAAATATCCCTCCCCCCAAAATCTTCTTTTATTTAACGCTGACCCAAAAATATTTTTTTCCTTTGATTGCGTGCTTTTTTGTCATTAATTTTCTCGGCGATAATTGAGTAGTAAGTATATTAATTTAAGTAAATAAATCTTTTTTGTTTTTGAGATTTCTTTCTGTCCTTTTTTTAAACTTAACTTTACAAATTCCGAATATTTCTATTATTAAGCAAGTCCAAACAACACTAATTCAATTAAATTAAAATATGTATATCTTTTAATTTTTCTAACTTTTACTCCTTTTTCTGATCAAAAAATAAATTTATGTTTGACTGATTTTAGTAAAATTATATACTTTAATTTAATTTACTCCCCCCCCCCTACTCTTCTCATTTACATCGATCTAATTTATATCTACTTTTCTGTCCCGAATCATTTAAATTGATTCGGGAAGAAAGAAGGGATTTAAAGGAAGAAAAGCATATTTTTAACGATTTAAATGCATGACATAAAATGTGGTGGAGTGAAGGAAGGGGAAAGAACAATTTTAAAATTTAAACAATACTTAAAATTTTATATTATTTAATACCTCCAATCAGTCTTAAATAAATAAATAAATATTAAATGAAAATTTAAAATTTTTTTTTTAAATTTAATTTAGTTTCTTTCACTCTTATATACTTCTATCTTATCAAACCAAAATTCAAAAGGTGGGATTAAATTATTTAATTATTAAATCTTTTTTTATTAATCCCATTTTCTCCCCTTAATTCTATCAAAAATATTCATTATCTTCTTTTTATTCTCTGATCATTTCCCAAATTGATTAAAATAAATATAAATTTCAACAAAAAAACCTCCAATCAGTCAATAAATTTAAATAAAAACAATTTTTGGTCATAAAAATTACAAAAAAAACAAAAAAATTAAAAGGCTCGTTTCGCCCGCGCACTTCACAAAACAGCGCAACGTTCACATTTCTTCTTTTAGTCCCTTTGCCGCCGATTCTTAGTCAGTTTAGTGTTTCACATCCCTAAATCGTCCACTCATCTTTTTCCTTTAAAACTTTTTTTATTGTATTTTTTGGTGAGAATAAAAAAAATATTTTTAAATAATTTTAAAATATTTTTTTAAAAAGGGAGGGGTTGTTTAGGGGGGCGGAAATCTTTAAATTTATTTTATTTTTTTAGATTATTTTTTAAAAATGTCAAAACCACCAAAATTAATTTTTAAAACAAAATTAATTCTTTTTATTTTAATTAATTTATTAATTTCTAATAAATTATTTGCTGCAGAAAATGTTGGAGGGGAAATTAATAAAGAAGAAATTAATGAAGAAAGAGAAGAAGATAATATTTCTACTACACAAATTTCAACAACAACAATTACCACACCTATACCTAAAAATTAGTTTGGTGTTTTTTCTTTTGAAATAAATATATATTTACATATTTAATTAGAAATTAAGGAGCAATTTGGGAATTTAAAATAAACTTTAAAAACTAAGTGGTCGTTGAAGAGAGAGGGGAATACATATCTTTTACTTAAAACAATCATCTTTTATTTCAAGTGTTGGCTCCTATTTGGTTATAGCTCCAAAAATTGTCAGATCAAGATTGCCATATGCTGTATCTGTTAATATTTTGAGAAGTTCAGAACCTGACCATATAGTTCGGGTTGAAATAAGGGATTCTAGAAATGAAACAATTGCGGCACGGGTTGTTAGTAATGTTAAAACAGGTAGGGGAGAAAGAAAATAAAATAATTAATTAAAAGGTATTCCACAAACAATAACTGTTGATAGTCTTCCAGAAGAAGGTTTATTGACTGAAGAGCAATATTCTGTTTATGTTAAAGCTGAAACTGTTAGTTCTGATTTAAATATAATTAACATTTTCTTTCCAATTAAAGATAGCTTCCCGTACAGTATTTGAAGATTCTGCCTCAATTCGTGCCAGTCAAAAAAGTATTAGTATTTTTGTCCAGACTGACAAAGCAATTTATAAACCTGGCTCTGATGGTGAGAAATAATTTTTTTTCTTAATTTTATTTAAGAATATAGAGAATCCTTTCCGACCTTTCGGGAGTTTTAATTTAAATTTTTATTCTTACTACTCTCCTGACTTTCCAATTATGTTAACAATTACGAAAAATCTTTGAGCAATTTTTGAGTAATTCCCCCCAAATTCGAGAATCAAAATTTAAAATAAAATATATTTTTTTTCAATTTTCAGTTCATTATCGTGTAATTGTTGTAACCCCAGAATTGACTCCATATTCAGAACCAGTCAGTTTATATATTGAAGATCCAAACCAAAACAGAATTGTCGATACACCAAAAATTGAATTGAAAAAAGGGGTTCATTCTGGAGAATTAATCCTTTCAACTGAACCTCCTCTCGGAATTTGGCGGATTTTTGTTACTACAAAATCTGGACAAAAATTTAATAAAGAATTTACTGTTGAACGGTAAATTTAGGGAGTTTTTGGTTATTTGGAATAAAGAAAGGGATTATTGGAGTAGAGATTGATGAGAATTTATATTTAAATTTTGAAGACACCCCCCCCCCCTTTCCTTTCACTTTTAGCTTTATTCAAGCTCTCTCCTCTTCTTCCTCCAGAAATACCCACCCAAAATCATTCCATTTTCTAATCAAATTTTTTTTTTCTAAAATTCTTCTTTTTTTTTCAAGTTATGTTCTACCAAAATTCGAAGTAAATATCAAAACACCAACATATATAACAATTAACGATTCATTAGATGTCACAATAATAGCAAAATATACTTACGGAAATGGCGTTGCTGGAAAAGTCAAAATTCGTTTAGAATTGCCATTCCCTCGTTGGTCAATCCATTCTTTACAACACCAACCAAAATTAGAAAATGGGGGAATTGAAAAAACATTAAAATTAAATCCAATTGGAGAAACTTTTATTCATTTTGATAATCAAGAATTGAGGGAAAGAAAATTAATTATGGATTATGGAGGGAGTACTTTAAGGTTAATTGCTGAAGTTGTTGAAGAATTAACTGAACAAACACGTAATAGTTCTGCACAGGTAGAGTAGAGATTTATAAATTGTTTTGAAAAGAGGGGGGGTTTGGTTGGAAATAATTAAAAAAAAATTTTGGGGTATTTTTTAAAAATATTAATTTTTCTTCTAATCAAAAATTTTTCTCCTTATAATTTTTTTTTCTAAAAAATTCTTCTGATCAAAATATTCTTTCCCTTGTAAAATAACTTAAAAATAATTTCTTAAAAAATATTTAAGTTAACAATATATGAATATGATGTTAAATTAGAATTAGAAAAACAAGGAGAAACATTTAAACCTGGATTGCCTTATTCTGTTGTTATTGCTTTAAAACAAATGGATGATAGGTAGAAGGGGAGGGAAGGGAGCTAAATAAAAAAATATTTTTTTAATTTTCAAGTCCAATAAAATCATCTTTACCTCGACGTGTTCATTTAACAACATTTTATTTTTTCCTTTCAACAAGTACACAGGAAGAGAAGGAAGTTAAAATACTTGAATTGGATGCACACGGAACTGCTATAATGCAATTACTTGTTTGAAAAAAAAATTTTGGAAAAATTTAAAAAAAATTTCTTTTTAGCCTCCATTAAATTGCTCAAATTTCCGTGTCGAAGCCTCTTATGACCGTTCAGGACATGATAACTTTACAAATTCCCCAATTTATTCCTCATTGTATGTTGAAGCTGCTAAAAGTCCTTCCCAATCATTTTTACAAGTAAATGCTGATAATCAGGGAATTGTTGATGCTGGAAAAACACTTTCATTTAGCGTTAAATGTACAGAACCAATGACTGCTTCTTTAACATATCAAGTATTTTAAAAGAGGAGATTTTATTTTTTAATTCAAAAAAGGTTGTTGCTCGAGGAATTGTTGTTTTAAGTGAACAGATAGCTTTTCCACAAGAAGGACAAACTAATGCTATAATTAATTTTGAGGCTACACCACAAATGGCTCCAAAAGCAAGACTTGTAGTTTATGCAATTAGGTGAGGCATGTCCGGAGATTTGGGGAGTGAACATTAAAAAATAATTTTTTTGGACAAATAAGAATAATTTATACTTCAAAGCTTTTGAACATCTACAAAAGATTCTATTGCCATTTTATAAAACTAACTTTTTTATGAAGCAACCCAGTAAACCCTTTTTTTTGTTCTATTATACTCGGTTCGAAACCAATACCAACCCCTACATACTCTTTCTAACATACAAAAAATTCACATATTTTTTACCAAAACACCTAAAAATATATTTAAAAATTTATTTTAGACCAAAAAATAAAGAAATAATTGTGGATGCAGTTGATTTTAAAGTTGAAGGACTTTTTAGAAATAATGTAACATTAACTAGTAATGTTAACCAAGCATCGCCTGGAGAGCCAATTAAATTTTCTGTCCACGCATCTCCAAATTCTTTTGTTGGTCTTTTAGCTATAGATCAGTCTGTTTTGTTGTTAAAAAGTGGAAATGATTTAACTAAAGAATTGGTTGAACAAGATTTGGAAGAGTAATGGATTTTTAATTAGAAATGGAGGGGGGGTGACTGTAAAACTTACTTTAATTATTTTTTGAATAGAGAAATAAATATTCTTTGAATAAATTATTTCAATGAATGGCCTGAAAATCAGATTCTTAGCCTTAACTAAAATCAGGGTCTCTGACCCTTCTTAAAAATTCTTAAAATAAATCTAAATTTAAAGATATGACACAATAAGCAGTGGAAATAGATTTTGGGGAGATTTCCGTATGAAACGTCGTGCTAGGTGTTTTTTAATTAATTAAAAATGGTTATTCTTTTGAATTTTAGATCAATATGGTATCCATTTTGGGGTGTTGGTGGAAGGGATGCTAATTCTATATTTAAGGTGGATTTGGAGAAGTTTTAAATTAATTTTTAAAAAATATTTTATTTTAAAGAATTCTGGTTTAATTGTGCTTACTGATGCTTATCTCTACTCTGAACCCGAATCAAGTAATTTTTAAATTTTATTTTTAAAAAAGGGTGGCGCTGACTTTTTTTAACAAGTAAATTCTAAATTTCCAATTTCCAAAAATTAATTTTTTATTTTTGTGTTTCTGCACTCTATTCGTTTTTATTTTAGAAAATTGCTTTTTGGAAGCTAAAAATATTTTGAATTAAAAAGCTTTTTTAAATTAAAAAAATTTTGGATAAAGTTTAGTATACCGGAGTTTTAGTTTCGATACCATTCGATTCGTCTCGACGAGCGGAGTCGGAACAGTACCGCTCTTCCGGGATGCCTGTGGAAAAAAGAGTGATACCGTTCAACTCAGCTCATCGATACGAATCGAATGGTATACATTTTATATCGAAACTAAAACTCCGATATACTAAACTTCAGCCAAAATTTTTCTTTGCTTTTTTTCTTTCTTTTTCTTTCCTTTCTTATTTTCTAAATTAATTAGTAATTCCGGAAGGCGTTATGTTTGCTTCAGGAATAAATCCAGCAGAAAGAGTAGATTTTGAAGAAGTCTCTAACAACAATAAATTAAAATCAACAACAATGCAAACAAGAAAAAACTTTCCAGAAACTTGGATTTGGACACAAGAGGATTTTGTTACGAGGTAATTAAATATATTTAATTATTTTGGAGAAACAAAGACAAATAAAATCTCTTTAAAAAATTAAATTAAATTTTTTTTCATTTTTTCTCTTCGTTGTTTTGTCTAATTGTTTTGTTTTTAAATTGCTTTATTACACACAATTATATTGCTTTTATTGTATTTTTGTCCTCACTTTTTGCACCTTTTAAATTGTGTCGCGGGAAATGGAAATCTAATTTTTGAACAAATATTTTAATTTTTCGAAAGAGAGAGAACTTTTTTGTATTTTTTTGTTAAGTTGGATTGTTTGGATATCCAGTTAGTGATGAAGGATTTGTAATGGATGATGCTTCTGTTGAATCTTTAGCAGTTACTCCAAATAAAAATGTTTTAAAGCCCTTGGTGAGGAAAAGGTTTCCAGAGACTTGGATTTGGAGTGATATGTTAACAAGGTGTTTATAACAATTAATAAACAAAAATAAAGGAGAAAGTTGTCCATCCAACCATTATTTTAACCTTTAAAATTTAAAATAATTTTTGTTTATTTTTTGAAAAAATCTTTTTTTATGTTCATCTTTTTGTCTATTGTTTTTTTGTGTTATTTTTATTTAAATCTTATTCTTCCATTCTTCTGGACGCGCCACTTTTTTTGTATTTATTTATAATTGTTAGTAATAATCTCTTAAGTATTGGTTGGTTATGCAATGCCTTTAAGCGGTCCAGTTTTATCTCATTCACGTTGGAAAAAGATGCGTTTCAGTTCAAATAAAATTTTCAAATCATCAGGTTTTGAACAAACTAAGAGAATTCGAAGTGAATTTCCTGAAACTTGGATTTGGACAGATTCTAGCTTCACAACAAAGTCTTGAGAGGGGATTTTCTTCTTTGTTTTTATTTTCCTTTAAATTTATTTTTTAAATTTAAAAAAATATTAAACTTTATTTCACCTAATATATTTAATTTTTTAGTGAAAGTGGAGAAGCCGTTTATGAAACAACAGTACCAGATACTATAACCTCTTGGATTTGTTCAGCATTTGCAATTAATGAAGAAAATGGACTTGGAGTAAATTAAAGAGAGGAATAATAAATTTTAAATTAATTTTTTTAGTTGGCACCTTCACAACTTAAATTGCGCGTATTTCGCCCATTTTTCCTTCGTTTGGAATTACCATATTCTGTAAAAAGGGGAGAGAAAATGGCCTTACAAGTCCTTATATTTAATTATTTGGAAACTGAACAAGAAGTGAGTTTAAATTACCTAAATATTATTCTGACAGCTTGTGTTTTTAACTTTCAAGATTTTGTAAACTTAATTAAATTTTTTTAATTATAAGAAACACAAAACCAAAATTAATAATTTTTTGGGGAGTTCATTTTAATAATCTCACAAAAATTAATTTCTAATTATAGGTAACAGTTACTTTAAAGCCAAATCCAGGCTTTGAATTACTTCAAAAAGACGGCTCACCATTAAGACCACCTCGGCAAGATTTAAAACAAAACAACGGAAATACCAAAACAAATACTGTTTTGTATAGTAGATCACTTTCTGTGCCTGGAGGGGGTGGCACTAGAGCTGTATATTTCCCTCTAAAGTTTACTGAAATTGGACAGATACGTCTTTCTTTACAAGGACGTGCTGAACAGGTACTTTTTTTGAAAATTGATTGCCTGTTTGTGGTCCCCGAAATTTCCTTAATCAATCTCTGGCTAGCATTTAAAATATACATACAACCAATCCAAATTAAACAATTTTTAATTTACAAAGGCAAATGATGCAATTGAACAAACTTTGTTGGTTGAACCAGAAGGATATAGAGTTGATAGAAATATACCTTTAGTTGTTGATTTAAGTCAAACAACAACATTAACAACAACAACAACTGAAGCAAATGAACAACAAAATATTCAAACACCTGAATTACAACAACAACAATCACCTCAATTTCATCAAATTTTAGAAATGCAATTCCCTGCTGATTATGTTACTGGCTCGAGGAAGGTAAAATATATTTTTGTTATGTAATATTAACTACTTCAAAATAAAGATTAGATAAATGACAAAATCGAAGCTTTGATCAAATTTTCAACGCCAAATAATCCGCGCCGAATTGTCCATTTCATTCCCCCCTATAAAGCCTAAACCTTTTGGCTTCAAGTTTTAGGTAAAAACTTGAAGCCAAAAGGTATAGGTTTTGTGGGGGAAGTGGTCGAAGACAAATCGGCGCCGATTATTTGGCGCCAATATTTTCTTTTCTATAATAAAAATCTTTTTTTAATAGGATTTTTTATTTAATATGATTTTTTCCTTATCAGTTAATAAATAGTCTCTATACAGTTAACTTTCGAGAATTTTTTATAAGGTTTATCAGGCTTAAAAGTTTGTTAAAGAAATAACGGCGCCAAATTGTTTGTGTCAAAATGTCTTTTTAATCCAAAAGGTTTAGGCTTCTAAAGGTTTAGGCTAAAAGTGGACATTTAGGCGCCGATAACTTGGCGCCGCCTTTTCTTAGCCGACTTTGTTGGGTTACATTCGAATGAAAGTTTGATCTAGTTATTTCAAACAAAATTTGATCAAAGCTTCGTCTGGTTCTATTTTCTACTTCCTAAATAAATTGAAACTTAATTTTTAGCAAAAAAAATAAAAAAAATTTTTGGTTTTAAAATTGGTCTTGAACTTGTTTATTTAAAATTTTTTAAGGCTCGTTTTGAATTAATTGGTGATATAATGGGTCCAGTCTTAGCCAATCTAGATTCTCTCGTTCGAATGCCTTATGGGTGTGGTGAACAAAATATGGTTACGGTAATTTATTTGTTTAATTATTTGAAATAAATAATTAAATTTATTTTTGTTAGCTAGTTCCAAATATCGTTGTTTTGAGTTATTTACGAGCTACACAACGTTCAACTCCACAAATGGAATTAAAAATTAAAAAATATATGGAAACGGGATATCAAAAAGAATTGACTTATAGGTAGGTATGTAGAAGGGATGGATTCTCTTCTGCTTTCCGTCTGATGCTTTTTTACACCTTTCGATTTTTAGAATTCAAAATTATTGAAATTATTTTTTAGACATTCTGATAATTCATTTTCTGCTTTTGGAGAGCATGATCCTCATGGTTCAACATGGTTAACTGCTTTTGTAATTGTTTCGTTTAAGCAGGCGCAAGCGTTTATTTATGTTGACGATAAAGTTTTGGAGGTAAATTTTGTAAAGAAAAATATTTCTTTTAATGATAAGAAAAGGTTTCGAGGGCAGAAAAGGTTTCGATGAAATATCAAAATGTTTTTTTGGAATTTTCTTTTAATATTTTTTAATTAGAAGCCCCCTCCCCCACTTAAATATATTTATTCTATTTATTTAAAGGATTCGATAGCCTTTTTAATTGCCCAACAACAAGAAAGTGGCGCTTTTATGGAGCGTGGGGAAGTTCTCCATAAAGCCATGCAGGGAGGGGCAGCTGAGGGTGGTTATTCTTTAACTGCTTATGTTTTGATTGTTTTATTACAAAATCATGTTCAAAATAAGTAAATTGTGAACTTGAATTTTTAATTAAAATATTTAATTTTTAGAGTAACGGAAAAGGCTAAAATTTATTTGGAATCAAAATTGGAAGAACAAAAAGATAATTCTTATGCATTAGCTGTAAGTATTAGCCCTGTATAAATTAAAGAATATTTTTTAAAAGATTTCTTGTTATTCTTTACATTTGGCTAATAGTGAAAAGAAAACAGATTGTCTAAAATTATTAGAATTAAATAAAATTACTTCAAATGATGGAAATGTTCATTGGTCTGGAATTAAAAAAGAAAAGTCTTCTCAACAACAAAAAAGTAGTGGGCAACCTGTTGATATTGAAACAACCTCGTAAAATTAATTAAATAAATAATTTTTTAAAATTTTTTTAAAAGTTATGCTTTATTAACTTATATGTTAATTGATGATAAAATAAAAGCTTTGCCACTTGTTAAATGGTTAACATCACAAAGAAATTCCCTTGGAGGGTTTTTTAGTACTCAAGACACGGTAGAGGAATAATTGGGGGTTTTTTAATTAAAATTTTATTTTAAAGGTTATGGCTTTACAAGCTTTGGGGAAATACGCAGAACGTTCTTATGGTGCTGCTTTTAATGTAACAATAAAAATTCAGAATGGGGCTGATTCACATACTTTTAATATAAATCCACAAAATTCTTTGGTTTTACAAAGTTATGAAGTAAATTTGTTAATTTTTAAAAAATGTTTTAGAAATTCTGAAAGGAATATTTTCTTGTAAAAAGTCCTCCCTCCTTCCCTTTTTAATTTACAAAATAATTATTATATTTTTTTTTCAAAAAAAAGTTGTCAAATTTGGATTCGCCAGTCGAAATTGAAGCTTTTGGTTCATCATTAGCATTTATTCAATTACAATATTTTTATTATCGTTTACCTTCACAAAAAGACGAATTGTCCTTTTATTGTGAAAATGATTTAAAAGAACAGAGAAACGGCCAAAGACTTTTATTAGATTTGTGCTGTAATTATACACGTTCTGGTGGACGTTCAAATATGGCTGTAGCTGAAATACAGGCGTTGAGTGGATTTAAATTTGATGAAGAAGAAATTGGGAAATTAACTGGAATTGGGGATTTACAAAGGGTGGAATTGGAGAAGGATGATACTAAAGCTAATATTTATTTTAATTCTGTGAGTTTTTTTTGTTAAATATTTAATTGGGCTAAAAATATGTTTATGATAATTTGGGATGTATGTTTTTTGTTAAAAAGAGAATGTGGAGAGAAAGAAATTTTTAGAATTTATCATACAATTTTAGAATTTATTTTTTTTAGCCAATCATAAATAGGAAAAATGGGCTAGAGGTAATGGAGGGATTGTTTTAGGAAGAGGAGAGGGGGCTCTTTTTAGAAATATTTAAATATTAATTTTAAATAAACCATTTTTCAGTTAAGTGATGTCCCTGTTTGTCTAACCCTTTCCAGTGATTTAGTCTATCAGGTATATTTTTATTAAGCATTTTTAACTACTTTTTAAAATAATTTTTATTTATAAAGGTAGCAGAACAAAAACCTGCACAATATTTACTTTATGATTATTACCAACCAGATTTACAATTAAAGTCGAGTTATGGAGGAAATCAGGTATTTAAAATTTTTCTATAAAAATTCCAAAAAAATATTCTTTTCTCTTAGCAACAGCCAACAATCCGTTCCCTCGAAGATACTTGTTCTGAATGTTGGCCAGACCCTGCAGCATTACAATCATCTTCTACATCAACAAAAACTTCAAATAATTCAACAACTTCCTCCCCAGGTTTATTTTCAATGACTGCATTGTTGGCTTGTTTTTCTTCTTTGCTCACTTATATTTTTTGCTGTTATTGTTGTTTTTAATTAAATAAATACTTTTTAAATGAACATACTTTTAACTACTCATAATTGCTCTCTCTCTTTTGCTGTGCTTTTATTTTTTCTATTAAAATTTTTATTTTTAGCATTTCCGGTTCCCCCCGTCTTCTTTAAAATTTATTTTTTTTTTCATTCTATCTACCCAGAAAATACAATTAAAATTTAATTTATTTTTAATTTTGAAGAAAAATTTTTTTAATTAAATAAAAATTAATATATTAGTAAATTCTTTTTTGTTTTTATAATGGGGGCAGATAAGAATTTTTATTTTTTAAATTATCTATATTCATTATTAGCTCTCATTATTTTAGAATTTATATTTTAGGTCTCAAATTGCAATCTTTTTTTTAATAATAATTCTTTAAATGCTGGATTTTTATTTAATTTAAATTTTTGATTTTTTAAAGATTTCCCAGCATTTAATAAAAATTATTTAAAAAATATTTTATTCCACTTATTTACTAATTTGCTAATTTTGCCATTTTTAAACTTTGTATTTTTATTTTAAATATTTTTATTTGTTATGTATTTTATTTTTTAAGATTTCTTTTAAATATGCTAAAATAACATTTTTTTAATTTAAAAAATAAATTTTTAAATATAACAGGTTTTTCTGTCTGCTTTTTGGTTAACAATTTAAATAATTTACTTTTAAATCTAAAAATTCTTTTTTTAATTTTAGCAGAATAAATTGGGAACATCCATAACTTTATGGCAGAAAAGAAGAAATATAAAATATATATTTTTGTGAATAATTTTAAAAAATTATTTGAGTGAATTTAAATTTATACATAATAGATTTCTGGGTTATTTACATATATTTTTAATTGGAAATATTTACTATTTTTATGAAAAAACAATGTTGCGAATTAAATTTATTTAAACTTTGTATGTAAAAATATTATTTTTTAAAAATAAACTTTTTTGGTAAAAATTTAATGATAAGAAGATTATAATTAAAATTTAGATTTTTTAACATTCTTTATGGGTTATTTAAATATTCATTTATAATTACTATTTTCCTCTCATTTGCTTTTTGCAAAAATGCCATAGACTAACTATTCCATTCCTGACAGCCCCATTTATTCGAATTTTCCTTTTTCCTCTTTTTTTCATTTTATGTCCCAATGTGTATTGATCCGCACAATGTGGCTGGCTGGCTTTGTGTTGAGTTTATTTTGTGGTGGTTGTGAGGTCTTCTCAAATATTATATTTTTAGAGGTCTGTCCGAATCTCCGACCTCATCACATTTCTCGTTTATTTCCTGTGAGTATTTAATGTTTGTATTAAAGTTTTTATTTTTTATTTATTTTCTGTCATCAACACTAACAAAAATAAAACATTTCGATTTAAATGCTGTTCTCTTTTACCTCATATTAAATCATTATTTTTGTTTTCCATTCATCAACATTAAATTTTAAATAGAAAGATGACTCGTACAAATATTTTGAAGCTTTATCTTTTATCCAAAAAATATAAATAAAGGAAAACGGAGGAGTGATCCTTGTTTCTTCTTCATGACAGCTAAATAAAAAAATAACTCGGACCTATGTAGCGTTTAATGCCCTTAATTCCAAAATTTCAAATCTTATTTATTTAGTTTGCATAATTTTATTTTGGCGTTCTGTTTATTACTGACAACTCTGGCATTTTATCCTTTTTTTAATTTAAAAAAATACTGTATATTCTACAGATTTTTTTTGTCAAATGCTCTTTTGTTTTATTTTATTTAGAGATCGGAATTTTGAAAAAACCGAGTTCGGGAAACGGGTTCTGAAAGTTGTTCAGGAGGGACCCGGACCGGGAATACCGAAAATTTCCGTTCCCGGTTTCATCCCGGCTCTTCAAAACCGTGAAAAGGGACCCGGAAACGGGTCCGGGTCTTGGACTCGTTCCGATCTCTAATTTTATTTTTATTTATTTCTTTTCTAGTTCTTTTATTCTTATTATTTGTTGACAAATCTTGTACACAGCAACATAACCTGCAACTTAGAGCCGTTTCAGTGGCACTGAAATAAATAAAAAATTTTCTCTTTTTCTATATCGCTCTATTTTTTTCGCATGCTATTTCTCCAAAGATTTGATGTATAATTTCGAGAAGCCTTATCTCGGAAAAAAACTTTGAGAAAAAAATTTCAACTTAGCCAAATCGTTAAACAAAGTCTTATCTTTGTTTTAAAACCAAATTTATTGATTTTTAATATGTTTAAAAAAAGTTACATATGGCTTTATAAGTAAATTTAGAAAATGAAAAATAAAGGAAAAAATTGTTTTGAAAAAATTTATTTTAATTTAAAATGACATTAAATGTTAATTAGAAAAGATATTATTAGGATTTCCTTATTATATAATTAATTTTCACTGAAAGGATTCGAACCTCTTGCATTTTTCGCTGCCACTAACCAACTAAACCATACTCCCGCACTGAAACGCTGGTTGCACCCTCTGCCTGTTTTATGTTGCTGTGTTGTAAAAAATTGTTGTCAATAGAATATCAATGCATTTGGACAATACTGCTTCTGATTCCGAGCAGTCAAAGTCTTTACAAATTAATGTTGAAGTTTCAAAACGTCATAGGCCAAGAAAAGAAAGAACTGCAAAGTATTTTTTAAATAAAAAGAAATTTGTTTTTTAATTTTTTAGAGAACATTTGGACTCTTTTAATGAACGTTCACTATTTTGGGAAGATGAAGATGGGGAAAGGACAGTTTATTTGTTTGATTATACAAATGAAGAAAATAGTAGACATAGAGGACATGAATTTATTAATCGACATTTACTTCAAGAATTGAGGGATAATGACCTATGGCGTTTAGTTAGGCATCCTTTAGTTTTGAATTTTGTTAATGAAAAGGTTTTTTAGAGGAAAAATAATTAATATTCTAATTTTTTAAAGCTTATTTCTTGTGCATTCTTCTATTTATTTCATGTTGTTATTTACTTCGTTTATCTTGGATTACTTTTCTCATATGCTGAAGGGCCGCCATCAATTGCTAAAAATCTGTTAGTGACTGTCATTATTTTTTTCTTCATTTTTATTTTGGTAAGTATTTAAATGAAAAAAGATTAAAAGAATTGTTAACAAAATTCTAACTTGAACAGAGACTGGCTAAATTTTCTTTGGTACTTTTCGGTTCTGCCACACCCCTCCCATATATTCGCAGGTTACCTTTCTTCATATGTAACTTTCTCCTTTGTTCAATTCCCTCAATTTTCCCTGTGGCATGTTCAAAGAGAGGCATAATAAAGAAAAGATTATTTTTTACTCAGTTTTCCCATCAATCAATTTCCCCTAGAAAGAAGGAAGTCTGACCATTCTGTACGTATGAAGGAAAATATAAAATATAATCTGCGAATATATGGGAGGGGTGTGGCAGAACCGAAAAGTACCCATTTTACTTGAAACCTTTTTTTCTCTCATTGAAAAACAATTCTCTTTATAAATATAAAATAATTTTTATTTTTAGGTAGTCAAAGCTTCACTTAAATTACAAATTAAAAGTCCATCAAAATTGAGTGCTTGGTTTTATCTATCATATACTTGGACAGTGATAACTTCTTTAATTGCTTTATTTTATATTTGGAGTTGGCAAATATTTGATTTTGACAGTTTTAATGAAGAAGAAAAGGTTTTTTTAATAAAAAATATTTTCATTTATTTATTTTTAAAGAAAACTGTTGGATGGCTTTTACCTATTGTGGCTATTATTGCGTAAATATTTGTTTTTTTTTAATTTATATAATTTTTAGTTCATGGATAAATTGTCTTTATGTTCTTCGGAAAGCACCTTGTGGCCCTTATATTTTAATGATGAGCAAAATACTTTATTCTTTTCTTGGGGTATTTTTTTAAATATTAAAGTAGTAATTGGGGAATAAAATTGGGGAGATTTAATTGGTGAATTATTTAGTTGTTAGTTTTTTAATTAATTTATTCGGTAGAAATGTTTGAAACCGTTTGTCGACGTCTAATTTCGTAGCCCGTTATTTTTTAGATTTTCTACCAGCTTTTTTTGTTGTTAGACTTAAAACTTAAATAAATTTTAATAAAATAATTATGTAATTATTTTCTTTTCCACAGACTTGTGCTGTTTGGATTCCAACACTTTTTACCTTTGCTTTTGCTTTTCTATTAATTATGCGTAATTCGGGTGCTCGGCCATGGGATGATCCTGAAAGAAAAAATAATTCAACTTCTTTTATGCTTGCATTATTTCAATCATTCACAAAAACATCTGCAATGGTTTTTTTAAATTTAATTTTTAAATTAATTAATTTAAAAAAAGATGATTGGGGAAGTTGAGGCAAATGATATTTTGGATATGAAAGAATGGATAGCTAATTTGTTGTTACTTTTATTTGAAATAATTACTGTGATTCTTCTAATGAATTTAATGATATCTTTGGCTGTTGGGGATGTTAATGAATTAAATTTGTCTGCTGAAGAAATGGATTTAAAAATTAAAGTTTAATTAGAAAATAATTTTTAATTTAAAAATATTTTTTAAAAAGGTTAATTTTTGTATTGAATCTTTACATTTATCTGAACAAATATCTTTTGCTCACAGATTAATTAATGTATTACATCGTTCTAAAACAAATAATGTTTTGGTTGTTGAAAAAAATGGACAAAGAGTTTTTTCTAAAAATGTTAGAAATATAAGTAAGTTTTTGTTTAAATTTAAAATAATTTTGAAGAATTTTTTAAAAATGTTTTTGACACTGAAAAGAGTCTATTTCTGATTACGAATTCCCTTTAATATATGGAGAGATACTCTTTAAGCATCCCCTACAATTCTTTCCTCTCTCTGCTCCTCCCCCTTACTTTTATAAAGTTTTTATATTTTTTAGGAGAACATTATTTTGATGTCCATTTATCAGCTCGTTCAGAACAACAAAAAGAAAATGAAGGAATAAATAATGATCAAAATGGAGTTATTTCAGTTAATGAGCAAAAATGTTATGAACTTGAAATTAATACAAAAGGATTAAAATTACGAAAAGAATTGCTTTCTAGTCGAAGGGCGACATTATTAAATATTGAAGGAATTATAATAAAGTAAGTTAGAGAGAGAGAGAGAGTAAATTCTTTAAAAAATAATTTCTATCAATTAAAGATTATCAGAATCCCCGTCATCAGGAATTCAACAATTAATTACTAGTTCAGAAAATATAGAAATTTTGGGAAATATTAAAAATGGTGAAACTTTGTGTAGAAAATTTAAGCGTTGGTTTATTGGATTAAATTTGAAGGCATTACTTTAAAGAAATAAAATAGATGGGAAAATAAATAAAAGAAGATAGGTTTTTAAATTATTTCTTTTTCTGTTTTAATTTTGCAATAAAAAATATAAAAATTTATTATAAATAATTTTTTTTAATGAAAACAAAAGAAAAGATTTTTAGAGAAATTGAAAATGTTTATAATTTTGGGAATTAAAGGTTGGCAATGAGAAATAGATTTTTTTCTCTTGCCAATCTTTAATTTATACTACAATATCTACTAGAGATTGTAATTGATCTTGTATTATTTTCAAAAATTAATTAAAAGAATTATTAAAAATTATAATCTCTATTTAAATTCTCTATATATTTACAATAAATTAAATCTAAAAAATTAAATCTTTGGGTAAGAAAATTTAAAATGGCAAAAAAAAGTTGAGCTTGAAGAAAAGATTTTTTTGGCAATAAATGTCTGTCTGTCCTTTTATTTAAACTCGAAATGAAGAATTTTGTTTCTTTAATTGTTTCTTTCCATTTATTAATTTAACTGTATTTTCACCAAAATATTTATCATAAAAATTTTCCACACTAGCCACAATTGTAAATAAAGCAGGCAAAAGTAATAATGAATGAATTGTTCCCAAAGTAATGCAAATTAAAATAACTCGGGCAAAAACTTGAGCAATGTAAAGAGGCAAAAATAATAATGCTAAAGCACAAGCATTTGTACCTGAAAATTAAAAAAAATTTTGGAAAAATAATTTTCTCTTTTAAAAATTGTAACAAATAAATTCCCCAGGCAATAAAATCTCCCTCGTTTAAACACAAGAATTCATCCCTCTCCAAAATAAGTTAGGTATTATGATATCCTCCAATATTTTTAAAGAATAAATTCTTCATAATCCCTGTCACTAAAAAAATGTTTTTCTCAAAATTTTTACTAACAAGCTGATGCTTGAAGTGCAGGAAATCCAACAGAAGAAAAAGCCCTTTGCACACGTTCTGGAATGCTTCTAGGCGTTTTTCTGGTTTTCTGATTTCCGTTATTATCTTCATCTTCCCATTTTGCTGTATGGAAATGATAAGAAACATGTGCAGGAATATCAACACTAAATCCAATAGAAATAATTACTGCAGACATTAAAACTGGATCCATAGACATTCCCGTTAGAGATAATATTCCAAGTGTTTCTTTAAAAAAATAAATTTATTTTTATTTTAAATATTTTAGCCCTACCAGCACAAATAGAAGCAATAACTCCAGTAGTTACACAAACAACAAAGAAATTACTACCCATAAATAAAGCACAAATAATAGCCATACAAAATAAAGTAGCTACTGCAGATTGCCAAATATCTGTTGGCTTAAAAATGAAAATTTGAATTTAAAATAATTAAAATAAAATATATTTTTTTAATTCCTTTAACAATTTAAAAATCAAAAGATTTACCATATTTTCCAACAAATCCAAATATAAACCTATAAAAAACAAAATATTTTTTTAATTTTATTTAATTTTTACCATCATCATGTAAAACAGTAACATTAAATTCATCATTATATTTATCAACAACAGACCGCCACTGATTTAGCATTAAAGCCCTATAATGCCAATCTTTCAGTTCTTCTCCGTGATAGGCTACAGTAACCATTAAACTATCCAAATGTGTGGTTAATTCACTTTCATTTTTTAGGTTATCTGTGTGATAATTGATAAGACCTTTCCAATGGGTATTTTCTGGCCATAAAAGAACTAAAAATAATTAATTTTAATAAGAGGATTTCGTCTTTATTTTTTATACTTTTAAAAATAATCTTGAAAAAGGATGGTTAACCCCTACTTTTAGTGACACTTTGGGTGTTTGTTAAATAATTATTTTTAATTTATTTTTATCTCCCAAAATTTAAATTTTACTTATTTTCCCCACCAAAATTTCCTCAAATTTAACAAAAAGTAAAATTTCCCCCATTTTTTCTTAACTTTCAAATAAAAAACAAACAATTCTCTAAATCAGTCAAATCAAAATTTTGTGTTTTTGGGGTTGAAGAAATTGTTGTTGTTGTAGTTAAATTACTGTTATCTTCGTCAATAATTTCCCCTCCATTTCCTTCAGATAAAGATTTCTCAAAAGCTTCAAAAGCCCTAACAAAATAAAAACTACTCTCTGCTGGATAAGCATTTGGCCTTTAAAAAGAAAAAATAATTTTCTTCTTCAAATTAATTTTAAATTTACAAATGTTCCATTTCATCAACTAAATTATCCAAATGTTTTCTTCTTTTTTTATTTGTTAAATCCCCAGGATTTTCAATAAATATTTGTGCTTGGGTATAAAATGGGAGAACTTTCTCTTCTCGATAATTTTCAATTTCCAATAATGGAGAATCTGGAGGGAATAATTTTTTGGTTGTTAAATTAATTTCGAATTGTGTTAATGCCTGAAATTTAAAAAAATTTGTAAAAGAATATTTGCATAAAATTTAGGTTGGTAATATAGGTATCTAAAAATAGATTCCAATTAGGGATAAAAAATGAAAAAATATCAAAAATAGTCTTATAGAAAAGAATTAATTAAAGATATGTACTCATTTTTAAATTGAGGGAGATCTGACTGTACAGGAATGGGTGTTAATTGTATATATGTAAATACACTAAAATTAAATTTAAAAAATGGAAAGGCCCTAAAAAGAAACCAAAAAAGTATAGGGAAATTAAAATATAAACCTCTTAAAGTAATTTTAAAAAATTAATACCTTAATACAAACAAGCAAAACAGTTAACCAAACAAAACAAATAAAAATGGAAGCCCAAATATTCGAAACTATTTTAACATAAATTTTAGCCAATTTATTAAAAATAATTTCAATTTTATTTCGAAAACTTTTTTTATTTTTAATTTGTTGTTTGTTGTTGGGAGTGATATTTTCTACAATTATCATATTTTTGTTATTTTGTTGAGCATTTTTAACTTCTTGATTAAATTCAAAACGAGCACAAATAATTAAAACTTGGAAAAGAAAAGGGGATTTTAATTGAAAAAGAGGGAGAGGGGGATTTGAGGATATATTTATAACAAAAAAATATCCTCAATCTCTTAAAGCTGATATCTTCTATTTTGTAACAAGGGTTCTACCGACATTAAAAATAAATCCCTCGATTTAGGGACGGAAGGATTTCTAGTTTAAAATAAAATACAAAGACTTGATTCAAATAATCTTTTAATCTTATATAAAAAATTACCAGAAGTAAATAAAGTTATTTGATAAAAGAAATCAACAGTTATCTAAAAAAATAAAAATAATTTTTATTTTTAAATTTAACAGAAAAAACAAACAGAAGCAATATTGCCAACACAAAGAAGTGTAATTTCTGGAGATCCAGTAAAGGACCCAATAATGTCAGAACTTATATTTGTTAATGCTGATATCATTATTGCTGGACCTGTTTCTTCTAATACCTAAAAAGAAAATAAATAAATTTTTTGATTGTTTTCCAAATCCGCAAATTTAATCCGCAAGTTTTTGCGGATTATAAACAAAAAATTAATTGTGTACTTATTTAATTTAAAACTTTACTTCAGTTAATTGTTTAGCTAAAGAAGAATCTATTTGCTTTCTTTGTTGTTCATTAAGTCTTTTTTCAGCTTCCATAGTAATTACATCCCCGCTAATAATAGCTGCAGGTAAAATATTATTTTTTCTTCTTTTTGAGGTTGCCATTTGCCAGGAATGGATCATTAAAAAAGCATCGTCAATTCCTTTAAATTTTTTAAAATTAATTTTTTTGGGGGGGGGGGGGGGGGGAATTCTTTAAAGTTTTTTTAGAAAATAATTTAAATTGACAAAAAAAAGGATTTTTAAATTAAAAAACCCCCAAAAAATAATTTTTATTTAAAAAATAAATAATTTATTAATTAATTTACCGATAGCCAAAATAAGAAAAGGAGTTAATCCAAGAATTGAACTTTGAAAAAAAAAATAAAAAATTAATTTAATTTAATCAAAAAATATTTACGCATTTCTAACGCCAGCAAAGAAAAGTAACCCTAAAGCCGTTCCACTAGCCATTAATGGACATAAACAGGCAAATAAAGCAACGGGGAACTAAAAAAACAATTTTTAAATAATTTTTAAATTAGGTAAATTACTTTATAAAAAGAGAATTGTCTCATAAATGTTGCCGATAAAGAATTACTTAATAAAGAAGCTAAACACATAATTATTAACCCAACACTAACAAAAGTAATCAAAATTTTGCCGGAACGGTCAAATTCTACTTGAGCATAACTTTAATTAAAAATAAATAAATTTTTAAATTTAAAAATTTAAACAAACGAAGTAGAAATAGAAAGTACTCGAATATATTTGCCAGTAAAGTTACTAAAAAATAAAAAAATAATTATAATTTGTTGAGAAAAGGTGAGGGTTTTTAGTGGATAAAAAAGAGAAGAAATAAAATAATTTTAAATTATTTACTTTTTAAAATAATTAGAAACACTCATTTCATAATTAGATATATCTTCATTTGTCCAACTTTAAAAGAAAATATTTTTTAAATATTTAAATTTAAGTATACCCTCCAATACGTTCAGCACGATATAAAAGAACAATCATTTCTACTTTTTCCATATTTGTGTAATTTCTACTGTTTCCAAATTCCACACCGAAAAAGCTTAACTAAAGAAAATAAAGGAAAGTATAATTTTAAATATGTGGCTGCTTTCGTGATTACGGTAGTTGGGGCGGGAAACTAGGATAGGGGTAGGAAATCATCCACAAGATATCCCTGAATGGAGAATTTAGAGAAGAAAAATAAATGTAAATACCTAACTTTAATAGTATATTCAGGGGTGGGGCCCGGTCATTGGACCGAACCAGGCCCCAGCCATAATCAGACACTTTTTGTTATCGAGTATGAGTTGCTTTAAATTTAAAGTATGTATACTAATGATTTAGGATTTGGCTAGCAGAGGGGCCGATCGGGTTATTTCGCCGGACTAGCCCGAAAGGCCCAAAAACGTCCCGATGACCGGGCCCCAACCTTATATGTATTTTTAGGAAGAAAAGTAAATATTTGTCCCTTTTTACCTGAAGATTAACATTCATGTCCATAACTTTCGAAAAAGGATAATTTAAACGTGTTTTCTCATTTAAAGGTTCACCATTTCTTAAATTTTCTTGTTGTTCTTTCCATCCAATCTAAAAATAATAAACAAAATTTAAATTTATATTTAAAAACTCTCTTACAGCAAAAAGACTAACAGGATCATTAATTGTACAAAAACGGCGGCATACTTGATTATATGATTCTTCTTTGTTTGTTATACGGTTGTATATTGTTAAATTTTTCTGTATAATATTGTCAACCTGAAAAAGTTTTTTAAAAATATTTTAAATTATTTTTCACAAAATATAAATATATAAAAAGTTAGGTTTTTCAGTTTTAAACATTTAAATTTTAAACTTTCTTTTGAAATTTGACAGAACAAAAACAGTCCTTCTTTTCTCCAAAAATTACCTCAACAGCCTCATCCAACACTTTTTCATCCAACATTGTTCCATTCTCTGCTTTAGGTAATATCAAAATAAAAAAGCGTATTCCTATCCCGGATTGCCCAAAAAATTCATCTCGAACATCAAATTCATGTAAAGCCCTAGCTCCATAAGGAGTATATCCACGAAGTTCATTTACACGTCTAAAAAATATTTTTTAAATTTATTTAAAATTAATTTCCCCTTACTTTGTTTTAATCATTTTAATTGAACAAATAATTGTTAATAAAAAACAAAAACAAATTATTTTGATTGGATGGGCAATTACAAATTTAGCCCAAATTCTGTAAAAACTAACAACAAATTCATGGAATTGATCAGACCAATTATTTGGTGATTTTAAAAATGAAGATGAGGAAGAGGAGGAAGAAGAGGATGTGGAAGAAGTATTAGCTACATCTTTTTTTGAAAAGGAAAAAATATTATTTTTTTAAAATTTAATTTTATTATAATTTTTCTCATTTCTTTAATATTTTAAATTAAATTAATTTTTCCAAAAACCCCCTAAAATACCTTTAATTTGATTATTTTGTTTTTCTGGAATTTTATTATTAGAAGGTTGTTGTGATTGACACAAAATAACAGCAGCTTTATTATTCATAGAAATATTTGGTATAGCTTTAAGTGAACCCATAAATAGGTAAATATTTTTTAAAAAACTAAAAAATAAAAACAAAAATAAATTTAATTAAACTAATTAAATATTTAATTTACCTAATAAGATTTTATATAATTTAGAATAATAAAATTAAATTAATTTAAATATGTAAATTATAAAATGAAGGTAAATTTTATTTTAATATATTTATAAATTATTAAAAGAATAAAAATATTTTAAAAAATTAAATCTAATACAAACACTACATATATATTTAATTACAATTATTTAGTTTAAAAAAACTTAAAATAATTATAGCCAAGAATAAAACTCCGAAAACCCCTACAAACCATAAAAAATCAAAAAATGATCTAGTATTTCCAATTCAAAGTTGGACACACAAAAGAAAGGCGAAGAAAGAAAAATGTGGGTCTGGAATGTTTTAAAAGGTTTAAATAAATAAAAAGTTTTTAAATAAATAATTTTTATTCCGATAAAATCAATAAATTAGCAATTAATTAATGTAAAAAATTAATTAACTTGCCGATTTTGATGGTATTCAATTAGATATTAGCCACAAAAATTAATATAGGTAGTTAGATGTGGGGTTTTAAAGGCTTTATATAAATTTACGGGTATTATTGAGGTAAAAGAATAATTTAAAAATTGAATTTTTAAAATCATTAAGGAATTTTGATTGGCTAAAAATCGCCGGCTTAGTTATTGGAAGGCCGATGAAGATAAAGCAAAAATGAATTCATCAGTTGATACTAGAAGAAAGAGCCTCAAAACCGAATTACCTGACTATCATAATTTACTTAAGCATTTTAATCAAGAATCATTTATCTACAAATGTATTAAAGCCGATCTTGTAGGGATAGGTATATGTAACAAACAAAAACAATAATTTATATTTTATCATTAAAGCCCAAGGGCATTCCAAAACTCCTAGTTACTATTGGTAAATTTAGATTTATTAATTCCCTCCCAAATCACCTTAAAAAGATATTTTTAAATAGTTAAAAGGAATTATTTATTTATTTATTTATTGTTTACCTATTTATTTATTTAATCACATTATTATTGTCTGAAATTGTCGCGCTCGTATTTATAAAATTTTGATTTAATATAGCAGTGAAATTGAAACAAAAAATTTAAAAATAAATATTTTGTTTCTACTTAATAAAAAGAAAAGACCAATTAACTAAAAAAATTTTTATTTTAGAAATATCTCAACTTGATTAGCACTAAAATTTAAGAAAAAAAGACTAAATTAGTGGGGGTGTATATATATTAATTAGTATTTACGTTGCTCCCTCTCAATTAAAATACTAAAAAATTAAATAAAAAATTTTTTCCTCTTAAAATTTGCGTTTTCAGCGAATTATGATTAATTTAAATGGAAATATTTAAATAGAAGACGAAAAATCAAGATTTATTTTAAAAAATATTTTTAAGAAAAAGAAATATTTTTGCTTAATTAAATAAAAATTAATTAAAAAAAGAATTTTTGGGGCAGTCATTTATATTTATTAAATATTTAAAAAACCCAATTAATTTTTAAATTAAAAGGACGTTTAAAAAAAGGGATCATTAATTTAAAAGTTAAAATAAATTAAAATTTTAAAACAATTTAAATAGAAAACAACCCCAAATATCGGGCATAACACAAAAACCGCATGACTACCCACCTTTATATTCCCTTTTATTCACACAAATTGTTTCAATTTTTACAAGTAATTTCTTCCCTTTTATTAACTCCTCGCTTTCATCAATCGCAGACATAGTTGCGCGTTAAAATGTTAGTAAATATACCTAAATAAAAGGGCAAATAAAAAATAAAATAAATTAAACTTTTGTGAAAATATTTAATTAATTTAAATTATACAAAATAATTTTAGATTGTAGGTAAGTTAAAAACTATGCAGTTAAAAGTTCGAAAAGAGTACCAACAAATAAATATACAATTTCTCAAAATTTATTAAATTAAGAGAAATATTTTTAAAGTAGAAGGTTATCGTTGGGGAAGTTGTGGTGAATAGTACCAAGGTTATAAGAAAGATTAAATGAAATTTCAACATTAATTTATACCTTCACAAATATGAGTGATTTTTAAGGGACTACAAAAAAATTAATGATCAGGTCCAAAGACAAAGTTCCCGCCTTATTTTAAAACAGAATCAGACTGCAACTTTACAAAATTCTTTTATTCTTTTTAAAGTTTAAACAAAAAAAAATTCGATGAAATTATTTCAAATGATTGCGATTCTTTAAGTGAATTTAAAATTAAATTTTAATCTAAAAATGGGTCACCCTCCGGTCTTCACATCCTCCCATTGAATTTGGCCAATCTCTACAAACTCCAAACAAGAAATAATTTTAGGAGATTGAGTACATGAAGTTACAAATTTATAAATTGTAGTTTGTAATTGTTGATGTTTGGATAGAATTTGTTGGTGACAATTAATTGTGGTTTTTCCTTCATTGATCAGACTGCACATATCCTCAACTATAAAAAAAGAATTGTTTTATTGTTTGTATTTAAAGATTTATATTTTTACTACTTTTTTGATCGTTAAAATAAAAATTGGGACAAACTATATTTAATTTAAAAAGTTTAATAAAATAATTGTTTAACCCAAATTTTTATTATTTTTAAGAAATAGAAAATTTGGCCATTTTAAATAAGGGAAATGCAAAAATTAAATGCACTCGTCAATCTAAATTAAATATTAGAAAATATTTAATTGAGATTAAACAATTAAAAGAATCTAAAAATAATTTTGATAAAATAAAGAGAGACAAGAAAGGAACCAGAAAATATTTCTAGAATGAGGGAAATTTGCCAGAAAATGAGCGTTTGCATTTTTTCCCGAATGAAAATTTAGTTTTTCATAGCTTTTAACCTTTTAAGTCTCCAACACTAAAATTTTCAAATTTCATTTCAATTTTACTAATTTTAATTAAATTCGATTTTAAGGGAATTTTGGTTGTCTCAATACACTTTTAATAAATTATTTCTCAAAATCAGTTAATTATTTAGGATTTATGATCTTTTAACTTTCAGAATTTTATGAAAAACAAAACTGTATATAAAAGTAATTTAGAAAACAAATAAATTACTTTTAAAGAATTTTTAATTTTAATAAATTTGTTCAAAAATTATTTTTTCTTCAATTTTTATTTAATTAATTGTCCTCGTCGCTAAATTTGTTTTTATTTCATAACCTTGGTTATTTGTCAAATTAAGAAAATTAGTTAACAAGTAATTGAATGTTTTACAAAATTAAAAAAAGGAGAATATATTAATAAATAATAAATTACTAAATTTTTAGCCCAATTTTTCGGCTTTTTGAAATAAAAAAAATAATTTTCACATGATTTCCATTTAAAAAGGAAATAATTATGCGCAAATAACTTCTTAACTCCATCTAATTTTGCAAAAATAAATAAAAGAGAATCTCTCAAAATTAAATAAAAAATGAAGAAAATTTAGAAAAAAAATTAATTTAAATTAATCACTAATACTTACTTTCAAGTAAAAGAGAACGTCCATCATGAAGAGATTGCATAAAAATATTATAAATTGGTGCTGCATCAGGATAGATGAATAATGCACGCATTACTTCATTTAAAAGATTTTTGTGACGATTTAATAAATTGTAAGGGTCTTGGCTTGATTGAACAATTTTAAGAATTGAAGTACTTTGAAGAATTAATACCTAAATAAATTTGTGTTAATAAAATTCAAAGAAAATTAACAAACTTCGTCAAAAATATAATTGCCAAGACGAGCAAGAAATATCCTCAATTTATGTAATATAGCAAAGATTTGAAGAGGAGAAGGTTGAGTGTTAGCTAAAAATTAAAAATTTAGAAAAATCGAGTTTTGAAAAAACGTTGATAGATTATTTAACTAATTACTTATTTCTAGTGTTACCAGACCAAAAATACTAAAATATGTATCTTAAGAAAGAAACCAAAAAATTAAATTTGTAAATTTTCGTTACCTTTAAGACGTCTTGTTTTCCTGAAGATATTTGTGAAACGGTAAGTAGTCTCGTCTAGATAGAAGCGAAGCATCTAAAAACAAAAAATATATAAAATTTATTAAAAATAAACCTGAAAATTTGATACAATGCTGAACACTTTTTTGTAAATTTTCATTACTTGTTTTGAAAAGAATTCAGCCATTGGACTAGTAAAAGTGGAATCATCAGAAAATTTTTTCTTTAAATTGCTACTATAGCTTAAGCCAAATAATTCTAATAAAGTCTTTGAACGGTCACGACATCTTTCTGAAGAGAGAAGAACAATAAGATCAGCTATATTTTTTGGTGGTGAACATAATTTTAGAGCATTATTTAATATATCCTCAATCATTTTCATTTTTGAAGTTAACCGATTTCGTACTGATTTTGGCGTTTTATAACAAACTGTTGAATCACCAAAAGAGACACTAAAAAGAATAATAATACGCAGAATTTATCTATTATTAAGTTTATGTTAAAAAGTTAAGAGCTGTCATTTAAGTTATATAATTAGAGCTGCCATTAAATTTAAAAAATGATCAATAGAATGCTATTTGTCCCCTAGTAATTCTTCCCTGATTTTCTGATTCAACTATCCCCTTTTCGCCCTTTATAGCTCCTCGCTCTCCCTTTTCAATAACCTTCATTAATAATAAAAATTAATAAAAACCAACAGAATCAATCGCTCAAGTTCAGCAAATAAATCTCCACGAAGCATAAAAAAATAAGCATGTACCAACACCAAATGATCAACCATTCTATGATTTCGAATAAGTTCTATACGCATATCGTCACAAATTATATCGTCTAGTTTATGAAGCACTATGGACAGTGAAGCGCGATGTGGAGGATCATGCCAAATGGCAGAAATTAAATAACGTTGAATTATTTCAGATCTTTCTTCTCGAGCAAATTCATAGAAGCGAGTTGAGCGGAGAACTTTCAAAAAATGCACTTTCCTTCCAATATCAATTATCTTAAATTCACATGTATAAAAATAATTTTAATGAATTCCTTAAAATTTTAACAAACCTTCTCAATTAGCTCTCTGGAGTTATTAAACGACTCTAGAACGTTCTCATTTTGAATTATAACGGGAAGTGACGATTCCTTAGAAAAATCATCTTTAGCAACATCTAATTTGTTCATTGCTTGTTGTGATAAATCAAATTCAATGCTTTGAAAGGAAGTAATGGAAGCATCCAAAGTACTTGTGGAACGTGCAGGAGAAGGTTTAACAGGTTTTCCTCCAACCTTGATCATCCAAATAGTTTGTTCAGAAAAATGTGCATCAAGAAGCCATTTTGAACAGATGTTATTAAATTCATTAGAAGATCGAACAATGGCATTCATTAAAAGCCTAAAATTTAAAATTAAAAAAACTGCAAGATGACACAATTCTACCCATATTCCCAATCCAAATGGCATAAAAAAGTAGTTTTTTGGTAAAATAGATTTATAAGCTGGATTCCGTCATTTGATCCGATCAATGAAAATAAAGATCTGACGAATCGTAGACGTTTACACCAGATGTGAGCAAATATTAGAATTTCACTGAGTTTTCTGGTTACGCGCAATGAAATATGCTAAAATAAGGAAATTCAAAATGTGTTTAATGAAAAAGAAAACTTTAAAATATAAAAAACGAAATCTTAAACCACGAGATTTGAAAAATACAGTTAGGGTCAAAATAAGCAGATAAAGCTAAAATTAAAAGGAACCTCAGCACGCATCTTGCCAATAATATTTTGATATTGTCCATAATCATCAAAAATGGATTCGGCAATAGCCCTCTTTATTGGATGACATTCTTCCGAAGTTTGTTTGTTACAACCAGGAGATTCGTTCACATTATATTCAGCTTTAGATAAGTCACAATTCTGAAAGAAAAAAATATTTAAAATAATCAAAATTCAAAAACCCTGAAGCACTCTATAAATCTAACATAAGTAGATAATTCTACAATTTTTAAAACCTCAAATTTGATATCCAAAGGAATATTTTCATTAATAAACTTCTAAATTAAAAAAATAATTATAATAAAAATAAATTTAAAAATAAACCTCATTTGGTCTAAATTCTAATTGCGATGTTCTTAAAGAAGTAAAAGTGCAAGGTTCACCGTTAAAAGCCAAAAAGATTTCGGAAATAAATTTATATTCTGATGTTTGCATTTTTTGATTTAATAAATTGTCTAAAATAAAAAACAATATTTAAAAAAAGTCAAAACAAAATAACAAAAAAAATTAAGAAAAATCGACAAGGAAAAAGTAAACAAAAAGGGAAACAAAAAAGGAAAATCCATTTCCATGACGACATTTCAAATGAATTTTTAACACAAAAACAACAAAAATGAATAATTTAAATTTGTTTCTACTTCATTTTACTAATTAAATTAATTTATTTCATTTCGGTAAATATTCTAAAAAATATCATTTTGTCACACTGGGTTATAAATTAATTGAAATTTTTGATTTATTCAACGAAATTTTTAAGTATTTTTTTTCTATTTTTTTCTATTTTTTTTCTAAGTGCTGACATTTTGTTTAAATTTAATTATTTAATATTATACTTTTAATAATGTCAAATGGCACACAAACAGATTTTACTGTGAGTTTTAATTAATTATCAAAATAATTTTTAAAAATTAATTAGGTTGATGAGAAATTTATGCCTGCTACTGAAGATGCCTCTACAGAATTATTTGAAGGAATTGATGAAGTTTATTTTTTAGAAATAGGATTTAAAGCAGTTAACCATGAATTGGAGGTTTTTTTCTTTAATTTTTTAAATTAAATTATTTTTAAATATTTTAAAGAAACTTTCTGATACTTTATTTGAAACAGAAGATTTACAAAAAGAAATGTTTAAATTAAAAAAACAAATGCAACTTGTATCAAAAAAGATAACTTCTTTTGTTGCAAAAAATTCTTTAGAATTTAATAAAAATGTTGAAAATCTGGATGTTATCCAAAAAGAAGCAGAAACACTGTTAAATTTAATTAAACAATTGAGAAGGTTTTTGAATTAAAAATAAATAATTTTTTAGTATTAACAATTAAAGATTAGTAAATTATTGTTACAAAAAATGTCGAGCATCTTCTACTGTTCTTGCTATAGAATTTAAACGACAAAAAATGCTTAAAATTAAAGAAGAAATGGTTAATATACAAAAACTTTACAAAACTGAATTTAAATTGAAAGAATTAATTCAAGTAAGGAAATTAATGTTTTAAATCCGTAATATTATTAAATCCGACACTTTTCTGATACTTTTATTTTTGTCCGAGAAATTCACGGAGAACCTGTTTTTTATTTTATTGAAATATTTGCATCTAACAATAAATTCAAAAAATCTGAAAAATTTGGTAGAGTCCTTATTAGAGACCGGATATTTATGCATTAAAAAATGCAAAATATGCACTATAATATGCATAAAAAATAGACAAAATATGCACGAAAATATGCAAGTTAACCAAAATATTCACGAAATTATGCAGCAAAAATACAATTTTTACCTAGAATTTTTAATTTTTTTGAATCAAAAACATTAAAACACCTATTTTTATTAAGATTACTCTCATTTTAAATGTATAGTCCGACAAATTGAGTATTTTTAATCTATTGGACATTTTGAGATGAAACGTTTTGGTGGTGGGGCATTTTGGGATGGGACGTTTTGGGCGTGAGACATTATGGGTATGGGACATTTTTGGGTCGCGCCCAAAAACAAAAAAAATTTTTTTACAAAATTTGTAATTTTTACAAATTTTTTACTAAATTTTTATTAAATTTTCACTTTTTGTCAGGATTTAGGGCAAATTTCGTGATATTTTCCCCAAAAACCTCAAAATATGCAGTAAAATATGCATTATGCAGCAAAGTCCGGAATATGCAAAAATGTGCATTATACTTCATGCCAAGTTTGCAAAAAATTTATGCATTTGCATAAAAATCCGGTCTCTAGTCCTTATAGTTATAAAATAAATTTTTAAGAAATTTTTAGCGCCGCGGGCGAAAATTTTTTGATTTTGGAAGGTCAAAAGCCAAATTTCTTCCATTTTCAGCGCCGCAGCTGAAAATTCTGAGAATTTAGGGGGTTGTAAGCGAAAAAATTTACTTTATTTAACATTTACCTCCCAAATTTTTTTTCAATTTCTCCCATTTTAAGGGGGCTTCAGCTCCTCCTGGATACGCCCTTGATAATTCTTTATTAATTTTAAAATTTAAGGAAGGCAGTATATTTACATTTGTTCAATTGGCAGTTGAAACAATTACTGAAATAAATAAATATATTGAATATTCATCAATCAAGTATTTAAATTTAATTTTTTTTAATTTTTTAAAAGATAATTTAGACAATTATCATCAAATATTTTGGTTATTTTAAGAAAGGAAATTTTAAAAATTGATAAATTATTAGAGGAACAAGTGTGCTCATTTCAATTAAAACATTATTTTTATATTTATTCAGTTTACGAATTAATTGGAAATTTGGAGGTTTTTTTAATTTTTTTTATTTTTTTTAAATAATTTTTAAAAATAGGAAACATCTCGAAAATTACAAAGTTATTTTAAATTGGCCTTTCAAAATTCTTCACAGACATCACTTGCTTCAATTTGTATAAATTCAATGGAAAATTATCAATCAATGGATGATCAAATTAATTATTTGGAATTGTGCAAGGTAATAAACAAAGAAGTTTAAATTGAAATCTGGGAGAACTACCTTCTAATAAAATAGGAAATTTTCGAAGTATTTAGAAACACGAAAAAAACATAAAGTCGAATGAGTAAATTTCTAAAAAATTATTGAAAGAAATCCAATAATTTTCCTATATTTTATAATTTTCTAATAAAAACCTTTTAAACAGTTTGTAAACCAAAAATCTTTTACTCGAGCACTTATTGAGGTTGGCAATTCACTCGTGAACATTCTTGCAAATTATCATTTAATTTTAAAATTTCATATAGAAGAAGATAAAAAGAAGGCTATTTGTAATGAAAATGACTCAGAAATTTCTGAATGTTTTGATGCGCAAATTATAGGTTAAAATTTGTATTAAAATTTTTGCAAGAAGAGACTGGAAGGGAATATTTCTTCGCGAATTTAATTTCCCTCGTTTTCCGTCCCTAACAATAAAAATATTGCTAGTTAAAATGGGGGCATCCACTTCTATTTATTTTATGACCTGGCCCTTTTGGAAAAATCCAGGATTAATGAGCTTATTTGACCGTAACCTTTATCTGATTTTTAAATTAAATTTTTAGATAAAGGAGTTCTTCAAAAATCAATGCTTGACAATTTATTTCAAATTTTTGATTATTCAGCTACCTTCTACAACGATCTTCTCTCCAGTATGGATCTTGAACATTTGAAAATTGATCAATTTATAAGAATTATGGAAATTTCAGAAAGATTTCGATTATTTGGACAACGACATTTTGGCAATTCTTGCTCATTAATAGCATTAACACTAGAAAATAAATCGAAATCTTTTTTTGCCCACTACCACATGGAAAGAATTGATGAAATACATATGTTTTTAGAAAGTGAAACATTCACTCTTTGTCCTGTGTCTGTACAATTTACTCTTTTTGATTTACCAGTAAGTTTATTTTCCTATTGTATATTCATTAACCGCTTAACATGAATAGAGTGCCAAAAATAATTGAGTCATTTTTTATGGAAAATTTAACAAATAAAAAATGCTCAATACAAGAGTTTTCTTATTTGGAGTAAATAAAATACTATCAACACACTTGTATCTGACACGAGTGAAAGTATTTTTCAAAATCAAATTAACTTTGATTTTACAAAACAGCTGACCAAGCGATTTTCCCTTACTCTTTTATCAACTATTACCCTGCACAAAACTTGCAGTTTAAAAAGACCAAACATCAACTGCATACAAAAAATATAATTGCAAAGTTCAAAATTTTATTTTAAAAGAATACTGGTTGAAAGCAAATTATTTTAAGAAAATTAAATTTAAAATAGAGAGAAATCAACCAGAACATATATTTGATTAAATAAATTGGAGTTTTAAATTTAGTATTATAAAAATGCAAAATTATAGTGTGAGCATTAAATGTCTTAACGTTTCGTCATTAATTAAAGTCAAATGTTCTTTTACTGCGTTGATTTCGACCGAAACGGCTTTAGCGATTTTAATCCGCAACACTATTGCCACGCCTTCCCGGTGAACCTCCACCAAGACTTGCACGCATAATGTAAGTCATCATATCGTTGACGCAAACCTTCGTCTCATCAAGCACCTTAACATTTAATTTACATGTTTTGTCAACAATGAAAATATACCTTAAGCTTCACCTGCTCAATGCTTCGAGCCTTAGCAAAAGCATCGCAAATGCGCTGGCACCAGGCAATAACTTCCTGAACGCGATATTGAAGTCCGGAAGTGAGCAACTGAAATTATTTAATAATTTTTATCTGACAGAAAGCTCTGGATTTGTAAATATTTAAATACCTGAGATCCCTTTTCGTTCAGATTTCCCAACAGTTCCTCGAGACGCTTAGAACTTTGACGAATGATGTCCAAAAGTACAGCGCCCGGAGTAGTCCCGACACGAATAGCTTGATCCGTCACAGCTCGGCAAAGTGCAACCGTCGCAGTCGTTCCATTACTAATTTTGTTGTATGTCCAATCCTTGCCACTACGCATATAATCAACCTTTATAGAATTAGTTTTCTTTTAATTCATACAGTTAACAAACCAGAACGAGACACCTTCCCAGCTGTTGAATGACTACAGCAACCGAATAATAAACCGGGTCAAAGATAAAGGTGCTGGCGCATTCCTTAACAGCTCCACCAATACGCATAGCCAAAGTCTTGACACGTTCCACAAGTGAACTATCCGGACGCTCATCAGCAGGTTCAAGACGGAAAATCTTGTCAGTGGCGGCGTTCAGAAAGTCAAGGGTTGTGTTCGCATGCTCCGTCATCTTTTGTGTCGGATGCTAAACAAGAATGATTAATATGAAGGATTGGAGTTCTTTAAAACCTGCACAAACTCGCTAGTAGCCCCAATCGCATTAAAAATCACTCGCTCAATCGCTTGCTCATACGAGTAAATGGCACGAGTTCCAGCTTTCCCAGCATCTTTTGCAGCAATTATGCAGTCAAGCACAATATTAGTTGCAGAAATACCAACACAAAGTCCAACCTGCGTTGCAGCAAGACCAGCACCAAAACCAAGATTTCCAGTAGCCATAATATGACGGATCATGACGGAACGAATTAAATTTTAGATATTAAATTAAATTCTTAAAATGGTCAATCCTGAAAAGAATATTTATTTATTAAATATTTTGTATCATTCTATTTTACAGTTAGACGAAAATAAAGAAAAAATGACTAGGTGATAGAATGAGTAGTTTGATAACGAAGAGTATTTTTCACATATGAATTGGTAGTGGACTTAGGTTATGTGTTCTTTGTTCCTTGTACCCAAAAAGAGGAAAATAAAATTTTGAAAGTAATTCTCCAGGTCTGGGCTCGTTAAAATGAATTAAATAAATAAAATGACTAGATGTGTCAAAGTATAAGGTGTTATTTAGAAAAACTCAAAACAAAACAAAGCCAAATGAGAATAAAGAAAACCATAAAAATGGCCTAGGTAAGAAAAACAAGGAGATAAGAAATTTTGCACACATAAAATTTCTCAGATTGTGTTCGGAAAAGCAATGATAGGCAAAGTTAATTTCTTATCAAATGTACTTATAAATGATTGGAGTTTTGAATTTATAAATGCGCGCAGTTCGTTTTATGTTAAAATGAATTGCGATTTAATGTTGTTTGTAGTTAATAGGTGAAGGGGGGTAAATAATGTTGTAATACATAAATGTAAAATACACATGTAGTAAATCTTTTCGGGTTTTGTTTCTAATTACTGAACACTTAACTAATAACAAATGGTTTAGAAAGAATTATGATTTTATTCTTCAACGGACCCCAATTTTATTTTTCGCTCAAATCGATTTTACAACCCAAAAGGGGTCCTAAAAAAGTTAAAATATCAGAAGAATTAAATGTGACATTTTTATATGGAAAGACTTGATTAAAAACTAAAAAATAAAAAGTGTAAACTAACAATACGCAAGAAAAACACTAACATTAAAAATATATTTTTCTATACATTTGGTTTTTTGAAATAATTTAACTGTTAACACTTTGAAATTTAGCGGAATTTTAAATTTGAACTGATTTCCTCTCACAAACTCCTTTGATTTAAATTTTAAAATTTAGTTTTTAGGAATTCTATTTTCTTAAACGGTCGAATGTGTTTGGACTGGATATTCCCATTGTGGAGAATTATCTCCAAGCCAATTGCTATGAACTTGATAGGCAAATGGACTTTGTTTTGATAGAAAATTCAACAACATTCGATGTTTTTCCTACATTAGAGCAAATAAATAGCAGTGTAAGTGTAATAAATATTTTTATTGTTAATAAATGAGAGAGATATTTAATAGTGTGATGAGAATATTTACTTTTACACCTCAATCGTCAGAAACAATTTTTATAGGAAAATTAACATTTTTATGATAAGTAATAAGTAGAATGGGAAATGGGAAACATTAAAGCAAACGGGATGGATGTACTAGTTAAATAAAAAGGGCATTCCATATCTATTTTTTGATAAATCATACGGTATCCATAGTAAGGCTAGGAATTTAAAATTTATAGTTGTAGTGTCAGTGGGTTATATTTAATTTTCTCCTAAATTCTATTGAGGTTTACATGTATTAAGCCTCAATAGATGCTAAGTTAATGTTGTATGCTAACATAAGTTAAATAAAGGAGAAAAATAGGAATAAGCTAGAAGCTTATATATTGGCAAATAAGGCGGGAAACGTGTAGAAATTGTAAATAAAGGTAAATTGTAAATCTGAATATGATTGACAATTATTTGAATTTATTAGGTGAAATGATGGTTAGGTTAAAAGGGTTTTTTCATATTTATGATTGGGGAAGTGCCAATCAAACATACACAAAGAAAGAATGGGAAAATAGTTTTATTAGGGGAAAGGAAATTTAAATAAGGCAAAGTTTAATAATAATAGGTAATTTAAATTATGTTTCTGACCCATTTTTAGCCATCACATAGCTGTGACAGCAAATTTAGCAATTCTCTTTCATGTGATTCACCAGAAGATGAATTAGATTCTATTCAAATATTACAAAATAAATCAATGCCTAATTTATGCAATACTGCCCTAAATATTCTTCGAATAATTGGTATAGATGTAAATTAATTTAAATTTATTTTTAATTAGGTAAATATCTTCGTATGGCAAAAATCTTAAAATCTACAGCTGAACAAGTTTTTGATGCTATATTGCAATTATTCTATTATTTTGTTTATTCAGTAGTTTATTTTTTATTTTTAATTGTCTAATAATATGTTTTAGTTATACAAATACTTTTGTTTGGATGTGCAAATTCAACAACAACAACAAGAGTTTGGGACAATTTTTACTTCTCTAAGGCTTCGTCAACTTATGGATAATGTTCAAAATACTTATTTTTGTCAAACAAATGGTGACTTTGTTACAGATGAGGTAAATTGTAATCTATCTTTTTATTAGAATTTAAATCTTAAAATTTAGCAGATTCACCATTTCCCTGCATTTCCAAATATGAGTCCGGATTTGAATAACAACGAAGCCCTATTTTCTTTAGCTGAACGTTTAATCGGAGTTGAATCAGCGTAATTTTTATTAATTAAATTTCAATGTTTTGATACTAAAATAACTAGAGATCGTAATTTCATACCGTATTGTATTTCGTAACATAATACTGATACCAATAAATACCGAAAATATGATAATTTTTCATCGGTAACGTATTACGGTACGGAAATTAAAAAAAATTTTTTTTCGATCACAAAAATAACCCTGGAAATTTTATTATTTATTATCCCTTCGTCAGAATAAAAATGGTGGTTCACTTAACTTTTCTTATGTAATCTCTGAATTTCTCAAAAAATTATTTTAGAACTTTTCTTTCAAAACAAATGGAACTTCTTCGGCCGACGTTAGAAACGCTAGTTATTGATAAGAAAAGAGGGCAAGATTTGGAAAATTTTTTCAATACACTGCCTGCAACTTCTGATTTGTTAGAAGCAACATTGGGTTGTGTTGCAGCCAAATCTTTGCAATCAGCACAAATATTGCAACAAATATCTTTAATTGATTGGAATATAAGTGAAATACCTTCTGAACATTCAAATTATGTTTACAGCATTTTAAAAGTTTTTTTTAAATTTTATTTTTGATTTTTAATCTATTTTTTAAGGAGTTTGAGTCCTCTAAAGAAATTCTTTGTAAATTATCTGTGTATGTACATATCAGTGAAGAAGTTAATTTTATGATTTGGTCGATGATGTCGATGTGTACAGTGCGACTTCTTGTACGAGGGTAAATATTTATAAAATAAAAATATTTTTTTTTTTAATTGTTCGTTTTGAATAATTCTGAAAATATTATATGTAGTTAATCGTAAACCTGCAAAATACATTTTAAATTTAAAAACATAAGTCAAGAAACTATTAATCTCATAATCTGTAGTTAGACACAAAATTCCTACGAAATGTATTATTTTTAGAAATTAATAATTTACCCATTAAATATAAACATTAATTCTTATATTTTGTTTTTAGATATTCTGAATCCAATAAATGTAGTAATGAAGGAAGAGCTCTCCAATTAATGGATGTTGAGCATTTATTTAAAAAATTAGAAGAACTCATAGGCTTAAGGCCATTCCCGCATCGTCTTTACGTTGAAAACTATGTGAAAGCCTTCTTTTTGCCTAGTGATGAGCTGAACGAATGGATTGTTAGGCATACGGTTAATTAATAAAATTAATTTTTTTTAAACTTTATTTCCTCAGGAATACACTTTAAGTCAAACTGGTGCTCTTTTAAATGCTTCTATTTCCAATGCTCCTTCTGCAACAAAGAAAGCAGTTACAATGTCAAGAATAATGGTTAACTTGCTTGATGCAAGTGGAATAAGCGATGGCAGCAATTCTTTTTTTCATTAAATTATAATAAAAATAATTTGTTTTTTTTTTAAATTTTTTTGCATTTATGGGCATAATCAAACAAATTTTTATGGTCTCTAACACGCATTTTTTCCTACTCATTGTGATTATTTTTCATAATTTTATCTTAAAACATTCCTTTGTTTGTGATAAAAATTTTATTTTAAAAGGTTAAAATTTTATTTTGTGTTAGTTAAAGGTTGTTAATTGTTGATTTGCTTTTTATATTTTACAAAATTCTGTCAAAAATTTTTAATGATTCATTTTAGGGACAATATCAAATTAAAATGTTATTGCTAGTTGGTTTAACTGGAGGAATTGGGACAGGCAAAAGTGCAGTTACTAATATTTTAAGAAAGAAAAATTATACAGTTATTGATACAGACAAAATAGCGAGAGCAGGTTATTAAAAATATAAAAAATATACATATTTTTTATTTTTAGTTGTTGAACCAGGGAAAAAAGCTCACAAAAGGATAAAAGAAGAATTTGGAATTGAATATTATAAGGATGATGATCAACTCGACAGAGTAAAATTAGGAGCAAAAGTATTTGCTGATAGCGAGGTTAGCCTTATTTTTAATAAAACTGATTTGAGATAAAAAATTGACATTCAATTACTCCTTAAAAGAAAAATCTAAATGTGTGACAAAACTTGAGAAGACCCAAAAAACTTTTTTCCATTAAAACCTTTGCTAGGATTTTTAAAATTCTTTTCATTTTAAAATTTAGATGCGACGGAAATTGAATGAAATTACCCACCCAGAGATTATTAAAGAAGTTTTTCGTGAAATTATGTTTTCCATCCTAAAATTAAACAAAATTGTATTTTTGGATGTTCCTCTTCTTTATGAAACTAAAATGCAAAAATTTGTTTGTAAAGTTGTTGTTACTAGTTGGTAAATAAATAATTATTATATGTGAATAAGTAGACTTTTTAGTACTGAAGATATTCAAATGCAAAGAATTATTGAAAGGGATGGATTAACAGAGAATGACGCCAAACAAAGAATCAATGCACAAATGTCAATGAAGGAGAAGGTCAAACGCGCGGATTTTATCATTCTGAATAATGGTAAATATTAAAAAATATATAAACTAATTTATTTTTACTCCAAACGTCCCTCATACCTCTTAGCGAATAAAATGGATTTTTATCTGCTAAAAACTCCTACTGAAAAATTTAAACTTTTTAGGAACTATCGATGATTTAGAAAGAGAAGTTAATGAGATGCTTCGCAAAACCGAATGGGAATGGTCTAAACTTTTATTTAAATTTTGTCTTTCATCTGCAATTTTTGTTTTAACTTCACTAATACTTTTAAATTATTTTAACTTAATATAAAGTGGAATTTAAAATTTTGGACAGATTTAAAAATAATTTTTTATATTTTAACATATTTTTTATATTTCCATTTTTTATTAAATATTTTTAATTTTAGGTATTTTAATTTTAAGGCAATTTTAGATTTATTATTATTTTGTAATTTTCTTTTGACTTTATGGCACTTCTCTTAAATTAAAAAATGAATCGTAAGATTTTTTCATTAAATAATTTTTTTAATTTATTTTTTTCAGATTGCATTCCAAACCGTCGTTTAAGGCCTTTCGCAAATGTTGTTAATAGCGGGTTTGTTGTGACTTCTCCTCTTGCTGGCGAATATGTCCATTATGTTTTTTGTGATAAAAATAGTCCTCTATTTAAAATGCCAATTAAATTGTATAGAATCCTTTAAATTATTTTAAAATTTTTAAAAGTTAGATTTCGTTGCTCAGAATATATTGGAATGAAAAATACCGAAATAATTCGTCGTGAACGTACTCTTGAATTTGGTGATGGAATTTATTTTACTTCTGACAACCGAGGGGTGGTTTTAGATTATGAAAAATCAATGAAGGTTTATGAAACAAATTGTAATTATGATAAAAATTTGGTAGGAATTTTTTGGAAAGAAGTTTTAAAATGTTTTTTGAAGATTAAAACAATTTGTGTTTTGCCTCCATTTGGGCATGCAATGAAAATTTGGTCGGAACTTTTTGGGAATATTCAACTTTCAAAAGAAAAATGGAATGAAGCAAATTTACAGGTTTTTAAATAAATAAACAATTTTTAAAATAAATTTAGGCAAATAATGATGTTCCAATATTTACTTGGATTTCAATTCAAATCGACACTGTCAGGTTAAAATTGGTACCGGAATTTGACGAATTTATTGAAGTTGCTGTTGATGAAAGAAAAATTGCTTGGGAAACAGTATTTTTAATTAAATTAATTTTTTAAATAAAATTTCTTTTAAAGGATTGGAATGAACAAAAAACAAATCCAAATACAAGTAAATATACGTGGGATACAACTGATGATGAAGAAGATATAAAAAATGTTATTGTTGAAAAGAAGGAAGGGGAAGTTTTGGATGTAAGAGAATTTTTTGAATAATTTTTAGTAAAAATATTTTTAAGGTAAAACTTAAATTGGAAGGTTATTTAATTGGAAGAAGAGAATTATTTTGTCCAGAACTTCGTCATAATCGAGTAAATATTGGTCTATGGGAAAAACATTTGAGTAAATTTGAAAATCTTCCTTTGGGGTCTAAATTTCGTTTTGATGCTTATTTCAATGATATTCTACAAATTTATATTGTAAATTTTTTTTAAATATTTTTAAAAATAAAATAATTACTTTAAAATTAAATAGGCATATTATTATGAAGATATTACTACTGATGAAGTTTGTTGGGTGGATATGGATGAAGATGAACCAGAAAAAACTACAGTTTTTTAAAAATAATTATATTTTTAAAATTAATTTTTAGATTCAACTTCGTCTATTTCCTTCAGATACTTTTGGACAGCTTTACAACAATCCAGAATTTGGTTTAATTTTTGACCCAAAAAAGTTGTTAAGTCCTTTAACTTATCTTTTTGCTGAATTGGAGGTTGATGAAGTCTGGTAAAAATTTTTATAAAAAAATTTTTTATTTTAAGAAAATATTAATTTAGGGTTAATGTAATCGATACTGGACCTGATCCGAAGAAAATTTGTAGATTTATAATGATAGATGATCAACCTGCTTGTACTCGTGATGTGATCCAAGCAGCTAAAGATATGGCTGAAAAAGTGAGAATTATTTTAGAATTAATTTTTAAATATATTTTTTTAAATTTCAGTCAGAAAACAATATTATCGATGAAGGATTTATTATAGATTCGAAAGGAACATTTTTTTCACCAAGGAATGCTACTTTAAATTTTGAGTTTCCGGAGAGCGAGAGGGACAACTTTCCCGTCGGTCATTGGACAAGATTTGAAGCTAAATATGATTCTGTTACAAATAAATATTTTATAATTGGGGGAGAATTAATTCTTGAAAAGAGAATGGTGCCAAATAGTTTAATTGAATATTCTACTGCGGATAATCAAAAAATGGAGAAATATCAGGTATGTTTTGTGGAGAAATATGGATCTTCCGATTTTTGAGAGTATCTATCAGGGATCCTGTCGTCCCGATTCCCGAAAATCGGGAATTTCCGACGTTTTTTTTTGGGTCGGGATCCCGATTTCCTGAAATCGGGAATTATATGTATCAGGGATCCTGTTTTTTTGGAGGCAAGATTTCTGGTATGTATATTTCGGTAGTCGATAGTATTTTATACGATTTTTATTGTTAATGAAGGATTTATTTAAAAATCGTCTTATTTTCTTTTTTTAAAGTTCAAAATTGATGCTGAATTAATTTCAAGTCATTCAAATATTTTTGTTACTGGATATCTTTACAATCCATTATATGGATTAATTGCCGATCCAGATTCTCAATTTGTTAAGAAAAAGCGTGTAAAATGTTATAAATTAATTGTTGAATTTGAAGAAGCGGATGTAAATTCCCAATCTTTAGTTAAATTAATTAGAATGGCTAAACCAAATGAATTAATGGATGTTTGTGTTTTTTTAATTAATTAAAAATTTTTTTTAATTTTTTAGTCTGATAAACGAGCAAAAAATTCAGTTATTCCATTTAGTAATAATGCAGATGATTCTGAAGAAGAAATTGGTTTAGAAGATCCTGAGGAAATGGAAGAAGATGAAGGCCCAATTTCCCAAGTCTTTTACAAAATTTAGAAATTAATTTTTGTTAATTTTTTAGGTTGATTATCTTTCAAATTGTGCAATTAGAGAACGTAAAATGCTTGCAAGAGAGAGAAAACGTGCCCGACTTAAACAGGAAAAACAAATATTGGAGCAACAAAAACAACTTCTTGAAGAGTCTAAACTTGAGTGAGATTGAGTCTTTTTTAGTTTTTAATTTATTCTTAATATTAGTTTTAAATGTTGAGAGAAATTTTCTAATTAAGTATATATGTAGAGCTTTTTGTAATTAATTAATTGCCATGTTTTCATTTTTAAACATTCCATAATTAACTAAATAAATAGAATTTTAACAGATTTTCCATTTTTAAAAACAGGATTTTGTATAAATATAAAATTTTTGGATTTTTTTAAAGTAAAGGATAGAAGGGGTTTTTATAATAAAATATTAAATACTTATAAGAGACAATTTAAAACTCCACATTCTTTAATTACAATATAAACTTGTTCTATAGCTTCTTTTGAAAAGAAATCTTTCAAATCATAAGCACGTAAAAGTGCATATTTATTAGATTTACAAACTTGGCAAAACCCACAATCTAAATAACATTTTGGATGACTATGAAAGCCTTCTTCTTTTATTAATTCGCAATTAATATCTCCAGCTCTTCTCTAAATAATTAAAAATAAAAGATGTTTTTTTGATGTAAAACCTCTAAATAAAGCTCCATATTATTAATTAAGCATTTACCAGTACAATTAATAAATTGTTTTCCAAGTTCATCAAATCTGTCATATATTTCTAAAATTTAATTTTAGTCAAAGTAAATTCTCTGGTGGAAGTATACCAGGCTTGTAAAAGTTTTTGCAATTTTTTTCTCCATAAGCAATTAAATAGCCATTAGGGCCACAATGAGCAATATCATCCTCCATACATTTATAGGCATTACAACCTTCACATCTTTCTAATTCTTCAGAATTATTAATAAAATGTAATAAAAATAAAATTAAAAATATTAAAATTTTCATTTTTGATTATCAATTGATTGCTTAAAATTATTATTTTGTATACAGCAGTTTGTTTTTAATATACTATTGTTGGAAATTGTAATACAAGACATTAGTTATTTATCATAAAGATAGTAATTATTACATTATTAAAGGTAAATATAAGTATTTTAAATATATTATTTTTTGTTTATGTATATGGAAAGATTATCTATATAAAATGTTTAAACAGCTTGTAATTAAAATAAAGTTTCAACCTTAAAGATAATTGGGAAAAAATTTTTTTGGGAAAAATAATTTTTTATTCAACAAAATTTTATTAAAATACATATTCATCTATATTTTTTAAGCTTAAATTCATTAAAAATATTTTTATATTTACTTTAAAAATTTCATAAAGCCCCCTTCCTCCCCTATTGTTTTTCAATCATCTCAATGTTTGCAAATTTAAATTCAAATAAATATTCCGATCGCAACGTCCAAAAAATGTAAAGCAAACATCAAAAACACAAAGTCTGGCCGAGTGTGGATATAAAGAATGAGAGAGAGGTCACTTCCCTAATATCTCTTAACCTCTAGACAGCCGATTGACCTAATCCCCCAAAAAATGTACGTGGATATTATTTACTATTTTTTATGCAAACAAAAGACGATGAAAAAATAGGTGAAGTAAAATTGATGGACAAAATACAAAATTATTTGTTATAAAATATTTAAAATATGCGAGGAAAGATTGTTCTCAATATTTTTTAAAAATAATTATTAAAATTAAAAATATCAAAAAGTTTTTTGTTTCTGTAAATGTTGAGCACAGATGATGAGTGTAAATACTTGGAGGCTACATGCTCCAAAAATGAACAACGAAAAGGATTGGCAATAGAGTTGTACCCCGACCCCGTACCCCGAACCCCGACCCCGTTCCCGAACGATTTTTTCACGATTCTCCCCGACCCGAACCCCGCCCCGAAAAAAAGTGAAAACCCCGTTCCCCGGCCCAAAAAGTTTCGGGGTTATCGGGGTTTTATACACCCAAAAAATGCCATTTTTGTGAGAATTTTAAAAGAAAAATTTTAAAAATTTCCTCACAATTTACTTTGTCTTTATTATTTTTGAAAGAAAAATGAATGAAATATCAAAATTTTCATTCCTTCTTAATTAGGAGACTTGTGGTTGAGTGGCTTAGTTGTTGGTTTTTTCCTATATTTATATTGATATAGGATTGGGTTCGGATCCATATAACGAGAACTCTGTTATATTTATATTTTTTTACAAAAACAAATTATTAACGAGTTAAAGTTTAATTTAAAAATATTAATTTTATTTTTAACTGATATCCCTTGAACCACCCTTAATCCTTCAAACCCCCTGTATCACTAGTTCTCAACCATAACAGTTGGAAAACTATCGAGGTCATGTTCAGAGATATAAAGGGATTTGTAGGATATCGAAGAATTAAAGAGTTATAAAAGGATTTAAAGGGATATAAGGTTTAGATTAAAATGGATTTGAAAGAATTACGTGAATTTAACGGAATTAACAAGGATTTCGTGGGAGATTTAAGGATTAATCCAAGATATCTCCTGATATCCGTCCAAATACCCTTATCCGCAATACTTCAATATTCTTATTAATCACTGATATCCCTTGAAACAACAAAAATCACTCCAGATCACCTTGCACCCCTAGATATACCATTTAATCCCTAAAAATCCCGCTTAATCACTCCATATCCACTTATATCCCAAGTTATACACTTTAATCCCTTCAAATCCCCTCTAATTTCTCCAAATCCTACTTAATTTTTGAATAAATTAGCGAAAATATACCGAGATCTGATTATTTTTGAGCTTTTTTTCTCTAAAAATTTTTTCCCTAAAACCCCGTACCCCGACCCGAACCCCGGCCATATTTTGCTCCCCCGACCCGAACCCCGCCCCGAAACAATTGGAAAACCCCGTACCCCGACATACCCGCCCCCGAACGTTCGGGGTACAACCCTAATTGGCAAATAACCGGTAAGAATATATAATTTAAATTTGATTAAATAATCGCTTTCTCTCTCTCTTTTGAAAAAAGATTCTAATTATTATGCATTGAAAATTAATTAAAATTAAAAAACAATAAAAAAATATTTTAAAAAATTACCATTAAAAGAGTAAAATGATTCTTTCCTACTAATAATTTTTTTTATTTTTTAAAACAATTCTTTCCTTCTATTAATAATTACATTTTAAAATTTATTTTTTTTTCTTTTTAAAAGTATATCTACAAGAGGTGCCTCAAAATTAAGAAGAGACCAAATAAATAATGAATTAACTGAAATTCGAAATATTTTACCTTTAAACAATTTAATGAAACAAAATCTTTTTCAACTACAAGTATTATCTTTAAGTTGTACATTTATTAGATGTCATCATTATTTTCGACTTTTTAATGTGAATTTTAAATTAATTTTCATTTAAAAATTTAAATTGTATTTCAGAAAAATTTTAAAAGAACTTCCTCAATTTCATCAATTTTTAATTCTACAATAATTAATGCTGCATTAAATGAACATTTTTTGCTTGCAATTAATGAAGAAGGAAAGTTGTTGGGGTTGAGTGATAATTTTAGTCAAGATAGAGAGCCAATTTCAACGGTAAGAAGGCTTACAAATCTTCTAATTCCGAATTTTCTAAAAAAGATTGAATGGATGGCTCAGAGTGACTCTCTGTTTGACTTAATAGATATAAGGGATCACCAGTTATTACAAGAAACTTTTTTCAACGAAAATGGATATCTAGAAAGAATATCTCAAAGCAACGAAATTACATTTGTGTGTCGTTGGAGGCCACCAAAATTGGGTGGGGTTACAAAAAGGCAGCCTGATTGGAATGGAAAAGTTTTTAATTTTTGAATACTTTAATTTTGATTTTAATTTTAGCCAACAATTGTTAACGGGTATTTTATTTCATTTCAAAATGATAAAAGAATGTTTGTTGGATTTTGCCGTCCACTTTTATTCAGCAAAAGTTGCTTCAACAGAAATTACAACGATCCTTCAATAATGAAATTTTGGATGGATAAAAAGCTAAGGATAGAGGCTTTATGCCAAAAGTAAGATTTTTAATGACGATAAAGCCTTATTGGCCTTATTGGAAGACTATCGGAAGGACAACGATAAAATGTCAATAAGGGATAGTAAGACAGAAACTTAGAACCTATTAAAATAAGTCTAAAAAACTAAAAAGCAAAACAAATTTTTAAACATTTTATTCATCAACACAACAAAATATACATACAAGTTTACAATATAAACATACATTTGTGAACAAAAACAACAATGAGGGCAATAATATCACAATATCAAAAGGGTTGCAATTATCGACATGTGTGGGGCTACAATTATCGGCATACATCTATGACCTATTTCCTCGTTCCTTCAGTCCTGTGCGAACGCGGCACCTAGTCTTCGTCTCCCGTAGCCAACACGTCTTCGTCGTTGTCCAGAGTAGAGGTGAGTTGAAGCTCCGAGCCATTCTACAAAAAAAGAAAGAAAAAATTATTTGACGTTAGAGAAAGGCAAAAAAGATTGCCTTGATTCCGAGGTTCCCAACCTTCTTGTCATTAGCCAGCACCTGCTTCTGATGTGTCAGAATTTGCTGCGCGGGAGGCATCTTCTTCACCTTCTTGATCTTATCCTTCAGAACTGCCACGGTGTCGCTCTCACCGACCTCCACGCTGAACTTTTCCCCTTTGAGCTCCATGTCCTGGATTCTGCCATCACTCATGCAGGTGAAGTGGCCAGTACCCACAACCATGATCTTCAGCCCACCACGAAGACGAAGCACCAAATGCAGAGTAGATTCCTTCTTAAAAATGGGGGAATTAATTAGCTAAAAATGAATGAGATTAAATTAATTAAACACCTGAATATTGTAGTCGGCTAACGTACGACCATCCTCCAATTGCTTCCCTGCGAAGATGAGACGTTGCTGCTCTGGGGGGATCCCCTCCTTCTCCTGGATCTTGGCCTTGACATTTTCGATGGTGTCCGACTGCTCGACGTCCAAGGTGATCGTCTTCCCTGTGAGCGTTTTGACAAAGACTTGCATGGCGGCGGCAGCAAACGTTGAGCACGAAGAGCAGAGACAAGTTGTTGATGATTTGAAGAGCGCGGTTATACAGTCAAAAAAGTACCGGCTTTTATATTATCGTTTTTACGAGTTATCCAAACTAGATTCAATAATGTTCGGTGGTATATAAGTAGTTATGCTCATTTTAGTATAAAAGCCAAAGTTGGAGATAAATGAAAGCTAATCGCCGAACTCTTGAATTATGGATTCGATTCGAGTTCTAAATTTAAGTTTCGGGTTCTAAGATTCGAGTTCTAAAGGATTCGAGTTCCACTTTGTTTCTTAAATGAATAAAAAAAGTATAATTAATATTTAATCAGTTTTTTTCTTGAGAATTTACATAATAATTACAAAAATATATCAAATATATTTTTTCAAAAAAATTTCTAAATAATTTAGTGCACATTCTTTACTTTTTGGCCAATATTGCAAGATTAAACCTTTAAATGGAAATCTTCCTTTATTTTATAATTTTGTTCATCCGTAAATATTTTAATTAATTTAATTTTTAAAATTAAATTTTAGACTTTTTCTCAATTCTTTAGTTCAATTACACAGAAAATGTAAATATAAATAAAAATATATTTAAAATAAAAAAATAATAATTTTTAAAGTATTAGAGCCAAAAACATTTAAAAATGTTTATCGTTTATTATTACCACTTTTATGTCCAAATAATTCTATTCAATTTTGTCATTTTATATTTATTAAAAATGAAAATTTAATTGAAGGAATATGTCAACAAATAAAGTTTAAAAATTAATTAATTTTAAAAATAATTTATTTATTTTAAAGTCAAGTAGAATTGTTAGCATTACAACAAACTGATTGGATATATAATAACAATGAAAATCAAAATAATATTGAAATAATACAAAAAAGAAAAGCTGAAACTTTTAATTTAAAAAGAAATAAATTAAATAAAAAAGTAAGGGAAAATAAATTAAAAATTAAATTTAAATTTAAATTAAAAAAGGATTTAAATAACAACAATATTTTTACGAATTTTGAATGGGAATCAAGAAGAGAAGAACCTTTTGATGAATTACCGTCTTTGTCAATACTTCCAGAATTGGATGATAAAGATTTGGATGAATTTTTTAGACTTGTAGAACAATAGAAATACAATAATTAAAATAAAAAAAATATTTTTTTAAACTTATTCTTTTTTGTAATTTTTGTTTAGTAAATGTATATTTATATGTATATTTTGAGGGAAAAAAAGAAATAAAAAATATTTGAAAACAAAATTTTTCTAAAAATATATACCTATTTAATAATCTTTTTATTTTATTTTATTTATAGAAACAAACAAAAATAATAAATAGTAAAAGCACAACTGTCACAATTCAAAAATAATAATCACATAGGCGCCTACTCAGATCAATGAAATAAAATAGTAGAAACCAATTTTAGCAACTTAAATTGTAAACAATCTCTATTAAATGAAAAAAAGATTATTTTAAATTAATTTTTTTAAAAAATTCCAAAATATTATTTTTCTATTAAATAGGTATTGACAAATTTAATAAAAGGGTTTCTTTTTTCTAAATTAATCTTTTAAAAATATTCAAAAAAAAATATTTTTTTATTTCCCTTAAAATGTCATTTTTATCGCCCACACATTTTTTCAAATCTTAAAATATTACTACTACGACCATCTTCTCACGCCTACATCATTTTCAATTACTAAAGCTACATATATCAATTTCCTCAAAAATAACCAAAATGTTGAATGTGGAGGCGTTTACTACAAAAATAAATAAAAAGCAACAATTTTTTTTAAAAATTGCATTGAAGGGTGTAGTAAAAAATCTTTAATTCCGAATAATTACTTAAAAGTTAACAGTTCAAAAATTTGAAAATATTAGTAGTAATCGAATATTTTTATTGTTTTTTTAGTTTTAAAATTTCCTTATTTAAAATCAAATCCTCTCTTCTTAATCTGTTTCCAGCTCTCGCTTAAATTTTTTACATATTTTCATTGTAATGTAGAAATCATATGACTTTTTTTGTTCTTCATTAATTTTGGGAAATTTTCCCCTTTTAATAATAATCTTTTAATTAGTAAATTTCAATACATATTCGAGCACGTGTTAAAATAATTAAAATTTCCCTAAAGGAGAATTTTTATCACAAAAATGTGTCAGAAGAAATAAAACAGTAAAAAATAAGTGGTTATATTAGTTAATGCGTGGGAGGACAAGAAGAAGAAGATGATGAGGAGAACGTAGTCTAGAAAAAAAAAGAAAAAATACATAAAATAAAAAGAACAAAAAAAATAAATTTTTCCCGGCTGGCACAAAAGAAAACGCTCTTTTGGCCTTTCTTTCCTCCTTCGCCTCCTTCACTTAAAAAATTATTTTTTCTCTCATTTTTCCCAAATATTTTTTTTCTGTCAATTCTCTCTATTTTTTCATTCCTTTTCAATATCATCTATAGTAGTCAGCAGTCCCGCTTTGAAATCAATAGAGGCGGCTGTCAATTCCCCCCCTTAAACTATAACTACACAAACACGCTCGCGCCTTTCTTTTATTTTTTTCTTTTTATATTCTCTTATCTATATTCTCCGCCCTCAACAATTTTTCTTTCTCTTTTTCTCCACCCTCATTTTTTAGCAGTTTTGCTATATACTAACACAACAATATTCTCTTTATGAAAAACCGTCGTTGAAGAAGAATATATTTTATAGCCAGCCACTAACTTGCGTCAGATGTAAAACTAAAAATCCCCAACAGTTTTTTCTAAGAAAAGGCTTCGGAAAGTTTTTAAAAAATCCTTTTTTTAATTAAATATTTAAATACCAAAATTATTTTTTGATCGTAGTACATATGTATTTACTTTTTAATAATTATTTATTTAATTTTTAACACATTCAATTTAATATTTAATTAAAAAAATAATTTTTTTTAATTTAATAAGGAATTTAATTTTTAATAATTTATTTATTTATTTATTTTTAAAATTCATTTATCAATCATTATTTATAACTATTTTTTAATTTTTAATTTTACTGGCAAGAACGTATCCAGTTATTCTCAATTAAATTTTGATACTTAAAATTTTTGAATAATAATAATTTAAAAATAAAATGTAAATAATGTTTTTTTTTTAATTTAAATTGACTTTTGAGAATATGTGTTTAATTTTAACATATAAACTTTTAAATATAAGGACTAATAATTATTTAATATTTTTATTTGACCATAGAGTGTAAATATATTTTTATACCAACAAAAAACGGCTTAAATATATTTAATAAAAACTCCATTAAAAAAAGATTAAAAAATATTTTAAAAAATTATTTTACGTAACCTAGCGGCGAGACCACTTTTCACATTCCTCCTTTTATCGTTTTTTATTCTCTCATTTTTTTCTTGTTATTCTTGGCTACAACATTTGTGAGCGAACTTGCCCATATATTAAAGAAAAAAAAATATTTTTTTTTTAAATTTTTTTATAAAATAAAGAGAAAGGTCTGCTTTATTTTAATTTATTCTTGTCTTTCTTTTTTAATCTTTGAAAATATTTGTTAGTTAATCATTCAAAAATAATTAAAAACCTTTATTGTGTCGTCAATCTGAAATAAATAAAAATTATTTTTAAATTATTATTGTTTAAATAAACAAAGAAAACACGAAATTTTTTAATTATTAACCTTTTGGTTTTTTTTAAATTTATATACAATTTATGTACATAATTTTTTAATTCATATTAAAATTTGGATTAACAAAACATTACAAAATTAAATTATTTCAGGAACATCCTTATTTTATTTTTTTACTCTTTCGTTCATTTAAAATATAAAAAAATTTTTTTAATACATTGCAAAATTTGGATTTAAAATAAAATAAATTTTATTTTTAATTGAAAGAAAGTTTTTTCTTTCAATTAAAGTTTATCAATTAAATATCAATTCTCCTCCCTTTACCTCCCTCTATTCTTTCAATCCTTTAATGCGCAATAATGTCCAATTAGTAGCCATATTTGCTTTTCCTTTAGCGGGCGTTTCCGTTTGCGTCAAAGATTTTTTAAATGTAAATATTAGTAACACTTGCACAATTGACTACAAGTAAAACTTTATATATATTTTCTTTTTTTTATTTTTTACCGCCCCCTCAAATAAAATATAATTTTTTCTGATAAACCAGAAATTAATATTTTTTTTCAAAAAATTATTTTAAAAAATATTATTATAATAGTTTTATTTAATAAATATTTTTATTTTATCATTTTACGTTTATTTATCTTATTATAAATTTAAAGAAAATATGTGACTAATATCCTAATCTAAATAAAGATTAAATATAAATATATAAAAATATTATTAAATCTTTTTTCTTCCCCCTCAATATATTTTTACTTTTTTTAACAAAATTTTGTTATAATTAAACTAAACACAGAACATTTATTTACGGGTGATTTTTGTATCCCCCTGATTGCCACCTCCCTTAACTTATCCTCCCTCAACTTGATTGTTGCTCTTATATTTTCACACCTGATTAAGTGCTTTTTAGGTACTACATTCAAAACAGCCATATCGCCAGTTTTCAAACTCTAATATACACTAGGTCTATGTACTAGGTCTCCCAAAAAGTGCAAGTCGAGCATCATGTTATTTATTCAAAAACTTTTCTAAAAATTAAAAATCAAACTTTAATTTTATTTTAGATAAAAAAACTTTTTTCCCTCCCTCTTTTTCCCTTTTAATTTTTTTATTTCCACCCTTTCATTTAATCTAAATCGATGACAGATTTAGTAAATAATTGTCAAATATATTAATTTATTTTCATTCACCACTTTATTTAATTCACTAATAAGACTGGTTATTTTAATTTACTGATCTCTCTTTTAATTATTTTCACAATTATAAACACCTACACATTCTCATAGTAAATAATTTTATTAGGCAAATAAAATTGTCACAATTTTTTTTAAATTTAGAAATCTTAGTAATTAATTTAAAATAATTATTTAATTGTTATTTTTTAAATTTTGATTTAAATTTTATTTCCTCAATAAACGACTTGATAAACTTGGCAAAAATTTATAAATAAATAGAGACTAGTAAAGGCTATATGTAATTAAAATAATTTTTTTAGTTTTTATTTTTAATAAATAAAATATTTTAAATATTAATTAACAACATTTTTTAAATAAACTAACACTACAAACATCTTTATTAAATGTCTTCTAATAAACTAAATATTGGAGGAGGAGGGGGAGGAGGGGGAAGTATAAAAAATACATTAAAATTAACATTACCTGGTTGTAGCAATACAACAACAAATACAAATTATTATTCTCATTCTGTCGATACAATGCTTTCTAAAAATAATAAAGAACAAAAGATGGAAGAAGAAATTGAAGATAAGCAACAACAAAAAAGTCAAGATGATGATGATGAAGAAGATATTTCTTTTAATGTTGAAGATATGGAAAAAGAAGAAGAAGAACAACAAAAATATATTCCTAATAATTTACTAAAAAATAATTTATTAAAGGTGAATTTAGAATTTAATTATTTTTAGTAGGAAATATTCAATAAGATTTTAAGATTTTTCTAGCCTTACATATTTGTTAAACTTAAAAATTGGGAATTTAAATATTATTTTTTGACGAGTTCTTTAATCACTAAATAACTAACAATTCTTTGTTAACTTGTTTATTCTTAATTATTTTATTCTTAATTTCTAAAATATTTTATTCAAATTTAAATATTAATTTTATTTTTTTCCAAATATCTCATTATTTAACTTTTTTTAAATTTATTTTTATCTTTTTTTCCTCAAAAATTACCTCACAATATTAAAGCTTTCTTTTTCTATTTTTGGCCAATTTCCTCTTTAAGTGGGTGTTTTTACATGAAAATTAGGCAAAGATTTATGTGGGTGTTTTTTAAGAGGAAAATAAATATGTTTTTTATTTAAGAGTGCTTGTTTAGTTAAAAGCGCCAAATTGCGTGACAAAAAAAATAAATGTTTTTAATCTCCAAATAAAGAATTTATTTAAAATTCTAAATAATTTCCCCTTTAAATTATTTATTTAAATATAACATCATTTTTAAAGAAAAGGTAAATATGTAGTAGATCTTTGTTAAATAAAGTATCAATTTCAACCTGATTGTGTCATAAAAGGAATATAAATAATAAGGAAATACGTAAATAGTAACAAATAAATTTAGCATAATGAAAAGAAATTAATAATTACTACGAATATAGGAATTATTTTTTATATTAATTTAATTTTTACAAAAGGAGAGAAAATCCAAAATTTAAATATTTTTTGACATAGTCTCTTTTATAAACTAGAAAATCAAAATCGTTTAAATTTAAGCGAGAGATTGAAACAATAATTACACAGATTAATTATTTGAGGATAGTTAAAGTTACCTAATTAATTATGAGAATTTTAAATAAATCCCTATTTAGTATTTCTTTAATTTTATTTTTGTTTGTTGTCAAGCTTCCAAAAATTATCTTCCCCGTTAATTTATTTATCCACAAAATTTAACAAATATTTCTTTTCTTATTTTCCATTATTTTGTCTTTTGTTTATTTTTCCCAAAAATAAATAGAATTTTAAAAGATAAACAACTGTCTGATTACTTTGCATTTTATCTATCTATATATTTTTTTATTCTTTCCCTTCATATCCACCAATATTTTTTGTTTAATATCGTCACGGGAATTGGTTTGTAGAAAGATAGGGCTATTCTCCTCTTAAAAAGCCAAAAATAGAAAACCAAAAGCAATTTATATATATTCAAATACTAAAAAGCTATATATTATTTAATGATTGAGTATATTGCTTGGTGTTTTTTGCCAAAGGAGAATGGCTAGATTTTTTATATTTTTTATTGGATAGAAAAAAAACAATAAAAAATAAATAATAAAAATATATTTTTATTTATTTACAGGGTGCGGCAAATTAAGCGCGCGTTTGTTTTTTGCCATAACTTTCTTCAATTTTAATGAAAATTGATAATTCTTTTTTTGTTTTATTCCCAACACGTTAGGAAACTTGCTGATACCAAATATTAAAAATTTGGTTCACTGTTGGCAAAGATAATCGAGTTCGGACGTCTGGAAAATTTAAAAACATTTTTTATGCCAAAGTTTAATTGATCATAACTTCGTTCAAAATCGTTCAATACAAATGATTTTGGTACTAAACGACTCATCTCGTCGAGGAGCATCAAAATAACTTATAATCTCATTTTTGAAAATTTTACACAAAAATTTTATTTTTATCAAAATTATTTTTATTTATCATTCAGAGGACCGTATCTCATTCGATTTTTGTCGTAGCCCCATGATTTTTATGTCATTCAAATCAGAATGAAGAGCTGATTCGAATGATATAAACATTTCCAATATTAGAATCTCAGCCTTTTATCTAGGCCAATTTTTATCCAAAAAATTCTGCTCAAACTTTGAGGGAAGTTTACTCAGAGTAAACTTAAAATTAAAAAACAATTTTGGTATCAGCAAGTTTCCTAAAGTGTTGGGAATAAAACAAAAAAAGAATTATCAATTTTCATTAAAATTGAAGAAAGTTATGGTAAAAAACAAACGCGCGCTTAATTTGCCGCACACTGTATTTAAAGACACCTCCATTAATTTGTGAACAAGGCCCTTCTGCACCTTCATCACCTACTACTTCAAGTCCAGGTGCACGTTCTGCTAAACGACCTTGTCCATTATCTGTAGATGCATTACAACGAATTAATTTGGTATTTATATTTGAAATAAAAAAACTTTTTATGTAATAATACTCCCATTAATTCTATATATATAAAATGATATTCTCTATAATATACATACAATTTTACAAATTAATATTTAATTAAAATTTTTTTTATTTTTTAGTTAAGTCCAAATTACGTTCCTCCCCCAATTTCTTGTTATTCTTTATCTGGAACTCAATCAATGATGGATTCTTCTTCTTCGTCAAAAATCCCTCCCCCATCATCACCAAGCTATCCAACTTCTGATTTAGGGTCAAGTCCAAGATCTTCAATTTCTACTTGCCATTATTCTACTCTCGGTATTAGTGCGGCTAATTGGAGTGTTTTTAGAGATATTGCCTATAGTAGTGGTGGAGGATCTTTAAGGTTTTTTGGAAATTGAAGAAATTTTTTAATTAAAATTTTTATAGGTCAACAGGTATTGATGATGAGTCTTCAGAAGGAGGAAATAATTTAAATAATGAAGACAAGGCTGATACACACAGATTTCTCCTTTCACCACAATTATTACTTTCTCCGTTACTTTCCCCCTTTTCCGATTGTGGAGTTGCTGATTTACATATTGGATATTCTGCTTCAGCTACTCCTTATTCAAGATCGCCAAATATGTCGCCTTCTCCTATCAGGAGAATGAGGGGAAGTGTGGGAGGAGGTGGAGATTTAACACATTTTAGGTAGATTTTAGATTAAATTTTAAAAATTATTATCTTTATTAACAGTTAGTTTTCATTAATTTTGGGTTTTAGGACCTTTGAAAATTGTAAAACTTAAAGATCCTTGATAGTCAACAAATATTTAAATTAACAAAATATTTTAAATTTCATTTTCTTTCATAGCTTTGAACAAATTCGAAGTAGAAGTTCTTTATCCAATCATGCTAGTAATAATGCTCAAGAAACATTTAATAATTCAATTAATAATTCTTGTGAACATCCAAATTACCATCAAAGAATGTTGGCTACAGCAAATGCTATTTCACAACCTCGATCTTTGGATTTAGATGCAAGAGAACGTAGTCGTTCAGAAGGAGAAGCATTATCATCAAATAATGTTTGTAAAAGGAATAAACAGTCTGGAGGGGGAGGAGGGGATTTTGAAGATGATGAAGAGGATGAAAGAATGGATACTGGACATTCTACACTTTCTGTACCGACAGGAACAACAACAACGGCAAACAGAGGAAATTTACACGCGGGGTTAAAAAGGAGAAGATTACAATTATTACAAAAAAATAAAGAAAAAGAAGAACAAAAAATAAATAAAAATAATATTTCTATAAAAATAATAACTTCTGATAACGATAATACCAATAATAATAATAACCAAATAAATAATAATAAACCAACAATTGAAGAGCCACCTCCATCACCTACATTAACTGAATTATTTCAGCCTGGAGATGTAAGTTATTTATGAGAGAAACAAAAAAAAGATTAAAATAAATACATATTATTTCCTTTTCCGTTGATTTCCTATTAGTATCTTATTTACTAGATACCAAGATTATAATAAAGAAAATCCGTTTATTTTTTAAATTTATTTTTTAACATTATTAAAATTTAAATAAAATTTTTTATTTCTATTAGTTGGACAATGGACGGCGTAAACAAGTAGAAGAATGGATTAAACAACAAACTGCTGCATTAGAAGCAATTAGACATTCTTTAGTTCCAGCACATCAAGAAGCTAATCTTTTACAGGTTCTTAATTTCTCCTTTTGTAAAATATATTTTTTAAAAAGGTTCCAAGTGTTATACCACAAAATTCATTAGAACAACTTTGGCCCCAACCAGCAACTGACTGTTCACAAGTCGGGCCTATTCGGCCAATGCTTGCTTCTTTATGGAGACGTAGTAGATCAGAATCTGAATTATCTGGAGGAGGAAAAACGAATATTTCTCCTTTTATGGGTAAAATTCTAATCGACAAAATTTTGAATAAATTAAAAATAAATTTTTCTAGAAGATGACCACCAAAATAATGTTAGACGGCAATCCTCATCTACAACAACAACAACAACAATTGAAACAACAAATAATTCAAAAAATATATCAGATAATCGTCGAAGACAAAGTCAACCACAAGCACCTTTACTTGTTCCCTTAAATGAAGCAACACATGTTTGTGAACATTGTGGACAAGTAATTAAACAGAAAAAAATATTTTTAATATTTTAAATTTTAAGGGATTTTCAATGCACGATCGTTTAGCTAAACATATAGCTAGTAGACATAGAGATCGTTCTGCTTCTGCAAACGATGAAGGCAATCGTATTCACAAATGTCAATTATGTCCAAAAAGTTTTGGACGTTCTGATATGTTAACTAGGTAATTTTACATAGAAATATTTAAATAAATAAAAGAAAATATTTTTAAAGACATATGAGATTACATACGGGATTAAAACCTTATGCTTGTCAATTATGTGGACAAGTATTTTCTAGAAGTGATCATTTGAGTACACATCAGAGAACACATACAGGAGAAAAGCCTTATCGTTGTCCACAATGTAGTTATGCTGCTGTAAGTTTTTAAAGAGTCGTTGTGATTAAAAGAAAATTTTTTAGAGCCGTCGTGATATGATAACTAGACATATGCGTACTCATTTATTATTAGGAGCGGAAGGTTCTTCTACATTAGACAACGAACTCCAAATTCCTCCAATTAATGAATTATCACTTTCCCCTCCCTCACCCCCACCAACAGTACCAGCAACCCTTTCACCTCTTCCCCAACAAAAACCACCACCCATAATAACCCCCCAACAACAATTAAATACAAATTTTGCTTGTTATTCTCAATCACCTCAAAATAACCAATTATTTGGACAAACACCAACAACATCATTAATTCAACAACAACAGCAACCATCAACATCAACAACTAATATAAATAATCATTTAGCTAAATTATTTTCTGCTGCTATAAATGAAAGAACAAATTCTTCCAATTTATTAAATTCTTCTTTAATTTTAGCAGCCCAACAATTACCTGCTGCTTTACGACGTTCAACTCCAAATTTATTTAATATTTCACCTGAATTAATAGATTATTCGAGAAGTGCTTTTAAACCTCCAAATTGTTTAAATACTTCAAATATTGACCCAACAATTGCAGCTGTAGCAGCAGTTAAAGTCCAACAATTACTTCAACAACAACAAGAATCAAGACTTTCTTTCTCTTCTTTAGATGGAGGACAACAAACATCAAATAATAATTTACCTTTACTTTTTAGGCAACATTCTTTTGATGGATTTGGAAGAAGAGGAGAAGAAGGAGGAGGAGGTGGAAGTTGTCAACAACAACAACAACAGCCAAGATAGCAAAAACTTTTAATTATTTCCTTGATTTTAATAATTGTATTTTATTGCTGTACTTTCTTTAAATTAAACTAGTCTAGTCAAGGGATTTCTCAAATATTTAGAGAATATTTTCTATTGTCCTTCTTGTTTGCCAATAAAAAGATTTGATTTTAATTAAAGCTTAGCTAATGAACTCACACTTATTTGGACATCAAATCTTTTTGATTTTCAATTCCGTCCTTCTTCTATATATATAAAATAAAAATACTTTTAATAATTAATTAATTAATATATTATAATAATAATATTTTTATTTCATTTTTTGTTATATTTTTTAATAATTGAATAAATCTACTAATTTTAATTTTGAGAATGATTTTATTAAATTACAAAAAATATTAATTAATAATATCAATTTATTGCCACTTAAAAAAATTGTAAAAACAAAAAATAATTTTCTAGTGCGAGTAAATTTGTGATAAAAAAAGTAAAGCCTTTTAGGAAAAATAAATTTATTTTTAATAATTCGTTTTTTATAGAATATTAAAACGAATTGTAGAATGAATAAAAGAAGAAAAATTGTAGAAAGTTAAAAGAAATTAAAGTATTCAAAAAAGAATTTAAAATATCACAAACAAACAAATTAATTATTTTTTTATTTCAAATTTAACCTCTTTTTTGGAATTAATTTGAGGATTTTTTAGAAATAAATCTTTTTTATTTTTATAATAAAGGATCTACATATATAAACGATAAAATTTGGAGAGATATTTTTGATCAGGTCTAAATTAGTTATCTCGTTATATTCGGATTAAAGATAAAACAAAAAAGAGGTATAAAGCTGTTAAAATACTTTTAAGTTTAATTTATTTGGAATTAATAAAAAGTGAATGTATTTATTAAAAAAAAATATTTTTTTGCGAAAGACAAAAATTTTGTGACAAATAGGGGAAGGGAAGGGGAGTATATTTAAATATTTAATTATCGTTGTATAATAATGAATAAACAAAAAAATATCTAATTGACGAGAATATATAAATGTCCTGCTATTTATGAGGATTTTGTGGTGGTGAATAAATCAAAAAAATTATATAGAAAATTCATAAAAAAATATTCAGATAATATTAAAATAAATATTTAAAAAATATTTAAATTCCAATAAAAAATGAGGAAATTCAATGCATTAAAGCTAAACACCAGAGCAAAACCGGAAAAATATTTAAAAGATTTGTTGTAGTAAATATATTTTGATGGTTTTATTCTTGGGGATTATTCTATTAAAAAATATAGGAAGGGGGTTTAGTATACATAAGTATACATAAGATCTACTACAAGGAAATGAATTTAAAAATTAAAAATGGAAAGCAATAAATTTAAAGTAAAGAGATCTTTTATTTTTTATTTGCAGGAGACAAGAAGGTGGCCACAGAAAATTATTTGCTTTCTTTTTTTGTTCTACAATTTGTTTTGTGTTCCACAGAAAGGCAATGATCACAAAAGTCATCCTTAAAAAAATAATTTTTAAATAATTTAAATTCATTCCGAAATACCTGTGTTCCAAATTTTTTCTGGCAAGGATTACATTGATAATGTGTTTGTATCAATTTAAAAGCACCAATATCCTCCCCTGCCGGGCAAATTAATTTCCAATGATTTTGAAGTAATTCTGGTTGTTGAAAGACATTATTACAATTTTGACAACCCCAACCGACCTATAAATTATTTTTTATTTTAGTTTTCCTCTCTAAAAATACCTCCAAATCAACAGAACTTAAAAATCCAAAATTATCAGCTAATTTACTCTCCAATTTGTTAATTTCTAATCCATCCTGTGTAAAACAACTTTGTCCTTTTCCAGAAGACATATCGGTAATAATTTGTTGTGAAACAGATTCTGGGACTTTAAGTGCTGAAACTGGTGTGCCGAACAAAAGTGGATCATAAAGTAATGGTGGAAGTAAACCTGGAAAGGTGGGGAGAAATGAGAATATTTGGAAGTTTTAAGTGTGTTTAAAAAACAAATTCATTGTTTAACAAATAACAATTAATTGTTTCTAATAAATATTTCCTTTCTAACCATTCATTGGCATTCCCCCAATTCCACCAGCAGCTGCCGCAGCTAAAGCATAATAGGGTAATTGAGCTGCTGCTGCAGCTGTTAATGATTGACCAATTTGTTGTTGTGGGGATAAAGAAGAGGAAGATGATTGATTATTTCTTTCTTTATTTTCTCCTCCTCCTCCCCCTATCCCTCCATCATCAATTAATTCATTATTCCAATCACAATTTTCACCAATTTTTTCTTCATCATAATTATCTTCTCCTTCCCTTTTTTCATCCAAAAATGACAAATTTTGTTGTTCATCACCTCCAATACTTACAGAACATCCTCTAATTGTTGTTTTTAATTGAGAACATTTTTCTTTTACTTTTTCTATGTGGTTTTCAGTAAAAATATGTTCTTGAAGTAATTGACTATTATTATTGTTATTTAAATTATTTCCAAATGGCATATCACAAAGTTGGCAATAAATGGAAGAACCACAACAAGGAATTAATTCTTCTGGTTCTGCAAAAAAATAAAAAGATTTCTTTTTTAATTTCAAACCCACTCAAAATAATTTTACAAAAAATATTTACCAGCACTTCCACTACTGCTACCAGCTTTTCTTTCTTTTGCTCTAGTATTTTGGAACCAAACTTGAACAACTCGTTTGGTTAGTCCAATTCTCCGGCCTAAAGAGTCACATTCTTGCATTGATGGAGTTTTGTAGTCGTGAAATAATGACTTCATTACCTTAATTAATCTTTTAAGACTGTCTGTATTTATTTATTAGTTGTTTAAACCCTTTCTCCCTCTCACTTACAATATCGAGATTTTCTAAACAAAACAAAACTTACAAAAACTTGCATAGGTGTCAAATGTGTTCTAAACCGTTTCGAATTATTTGATTGACTTTGAGGTCTTTGTCTTTGATTTATCCCATCATTTATTATTCTTTTTTGTCCTCCAAATAAAGAAGGCAATAAAAGTGCTGCAGCTAATGAAGATTCATTTAATAATAAACTTTCATTATTTCCTCCTCCTTCTCCTCCTTCATTTGTTGGAGAAAGTGAAGGATCATTTGAAACAAAATATCCTCCTCCTCCTCCTCCTCTACTATCATTATTATTTTGTCTTTCATTTTCTTCTTCAATTTCTTCTTCTAGTATTTCCTCTTCTGTTTTATAACCATTAAAACGATTATTATTTATTGTTAAATCTAAAGGATTTTGTTGTTTTTCATTATTTTCTTCTTTCAAATTAAAAAAATTTGTTGAAGAGGATGAAGAAAAATGATTTTCAGAAATATGTTTAGCAAGTTTATCATTACAATTAAATTGTAAACCACAAAGTGGGCATTGTTGCCCTGTGGAAGTGTCATTTGTTGAGACGTTATTAGAGGATGGAACATCAATTTTCATCTAAAATAAAAAATTGTCATCTAAAATTTATTTTTCTTAATTATTTAAAATAGATATAAGGATATTTGGCACTCCTTCCGTTTAAGGGGGCCGCAGTTCTCTGATCATTATGAGACAATAATTTTGGCACCAAATTTTTAACCACCTTATACTACATGTGAAAAATAAATGTTATTAGGAGGAAAGGGTTAATTTTGATTGATAAGGAAGAGAATAAGGAAGAGAAGAAGATAAGGAAGAGAAGAAGGTTTTATAGAACGCGGCCCTCTTTTAAACGGCAGAAGTGCCGGATATTCAAATATCTCCAAAACTTTAAAATTTAAGGGAAAACAAAATGTCCAAACAAAAATAATTTTTCAAAATAAAAATTTTACTTGATTTATTTGTTGTTGTGAACATCCAGCAGCAGCCAATAATTGATTAAATAAAAGCATTTCCTGTGAACTACTTTCAATATTAGAAGATTGTTGCTGTAAAAATAAATGTTTATTTTCTTCTTCTTCAATTCCATTTTCTTCTTTTCCATTTAAAATATCAGAAACATTAAAATCCCCTTCATTATTTTGTTGTTCTTCTAATTTAACAGAACAACAAATTCTTTGTTGATGTTGAATTAATTCTAAATAACGTTGAAATACTTGTCCACAAACTTTACATTGAAAATTAGCTGATGAAGGAGTACGGCTAAAACGGCCTTCTGTTGTTATCTTTTTTAAGAGAAAAATAAATATTATTAAATCTTTTATTATTTACTTGTTCAATAATTGATGGATGTGCCATTAAATGAGGTTGTTGTTCAAATACTTTACGAGCTTTTTGACGAGCATTCTAAAAGAAAAAGTGGAAAAAATATTTTGTAAAAATTTAAATAAAATTTTACTTGAAACCAAACAACAATAACACGCGGAGAAAGTCCTGAAATAGATTTTTAATTATTATATTTTAGAGGTTGTTTATATGTAGTCCCAAAAATTTCAATATAAACTTTTTATGTAAAGTAAAGATAATTAATTAAAACAGAAATAATTTAAATTAATTATAATTATGGTAGAAAGTGTTTAAAAAGAAGTTGAATCTCGATAACACGATATTTCTCGGCTGAATTATGGAAGTATCGTGTGATCAGAGTCAATTTACACTAAAACACGCTCTTTGGGACCCATTTATCTTGCAGTTTTAATCTAATTTATCTAAAAATAGTTAATCACCAAGTTTTTTGCTAAGCATTTCTAAATCATCATCTTTAGGATATGCTTGTTTATCAAAAAAGTCTTGCATTGTTCTCAATTGAAAATCAGTAAATCTAGTCCGATTTGCCCTTCTACCACTAGAACCTCCACCAGGCATTACTATATTTGTTGTTGTAGTAGTTGAATTATTTGGGGTTGTTGTTGCTGTTGATTGTTGTTGTTGTTGTATTATTTGATTAATTGAATTAATTGAAGTTGAGGAAGAACAAGAAGGAATTGAAGAAGAATTTGTTGTTATTGTTTGTTGAGTAGAAGAAGATGAATTAATTAATTGACTAATAATATCAACTAAAAAAGCGATAATTA